AGATGCAGTTGTCGATTCAAATCTCGTAGTGGTAGAGGTAGTAAAAGTATAAGCAGTAATCGGAAACATTAGGGTTTGGAGATGTTATTTAGAGAGTATAATCCAGTGAAATAAATTTGGAAAGAAAATAAAGGACATGAAAAATTCAGAAGATTAGAATTTGGAAGAACACAAAGAGTGGATGCACCTGCGCCATTGCAAACGATTTTGAGCCATGTCATTCAAAGTCCCTAACCATCGGTTGCTATTGTCTCGCAAATCCCAACCAGCTAGTCTACACCTACCAACATGGCTCAATCCACTTGTCGGCGACTTCATTGATTTGTGACATGTTTTGGTCTGGCCGCCCCTAGTTTTCTTCCAACCTACTCCTACACCATAAAACATCGCCCGTCAGGTATACGAATACGTGTCCCAGCCATCTTAACTGATGAAGTTTCATTACTTCATCAATCGATTTGCCATCCTTACCTAGTACCCGTTTACTAACAACTGCATCACTTACTCGATGATCCCAGTATATGCGAGCAATGTTTCGAAGACACTTATGGTCAAATAATAGTAACCTACGAATATCTTCTATTCTCACCGGCCATTTTTCACAGCCATAAAGTAGGACGAAATGAACTGCTGCGCAGTAAACACGTCCTTTGTTTGATAGACGGGTATCTCGCCTACACCATAAATGACACAAGTTGGTAAAAGCTAGTCGAGCCTTCTGTATCCGTGCTGAGATTTCGTCACACACCAGACCACAAGGAATGATGAGATAAGTGAAGCAGTCGACACACTCAACTACTTCACTCCCTATCATTAGTTTGGTTGTCGATGAAACCCAATCCTGAAGCAACATTTTGCATTTCGAGGGAGAGAATCGCATCCCGAGCATGCTTGCATTGTTGCTTATAGTGGTCGGAAGACTGCATTTTGTCAGCGTCTTCACCAAACAGAACTATGTCATCGGCATACTCCAAGTCAACGAATGAATCTCCTGGTAGAAGTTCAACCCCTGGAAATTTAGATGAGGAAAGTGTTATCTCTAAAAGTACGTCAATGACAAAGTTAAACAAGAATGGAGAGAGTGGGTAGCCCTGACGAACACCACTTGAGGTAATCAATTCTGATGACAGTTCGCCATAAGCTCTCGCCCTACCAGTTGTGTTCGAGTAGAGAGCCTTTACAAGGTTAATGTAATTCATTGGTACTCCTTTCAGCGACAAACACTGTCACAGAACCTCACGATCAACAGAGTCGAATGCTGCTTTAAGGTCGAGAAATACTACGATTGTGGGGCGTTTGAGTGTGTGTTTATGTTATAGAAGCTGACGTAGTGTGAATATCTGGTCTATACAACCACGTCAAGGTCGAAAACCATCCTGGTTTTCTCTAGTCTGCTCTTCACGAGCTTTGGTTAGGCGTCGAAGTATTATTGAAGCTAATATTTTAGACACTATATTAGTCAAACTGATTCCTCAGTGATTGTCACAAGAGGACTTTTGTCCTTTCTTATAGATTGGCACAATCAGTGATTGAGACCAGTCAGATGAGAACGCGTTCAGCTCCCAAATTCTACCTAAGACCTCAGTTAATCTCACTGCTAATACTGGACCACCATCCTTGAAAATCTCAGAAGTAAACCTGTCAGGACCTGCTGCTCTCCTTCGTTTCAGATTTCCTATAGCTTTTTCAACTTCGTAAAGAGTCGGAGGACCTACATTAACTTGCCATTCAGGTTGAATGGAGATCGTGGGAAACCGAAGTGTGGCTGAAAGCCAGTTGAACTGATCCCTAAAGTGTTCTACCCATTGATCCAATCTCCTGGATTAAGAATGAATAATATGTCCATCTTTCTCTGAGATAGTTTCGCTAACCGTCGGGTTCCTAATACCGGTTTTCTTAACAAGTCTGAACAATTGTCTGCTATTACCTATTGCCGCTGCCTTTTCCATCTCTCTTGCTTACACTACCCACCACTGTTCACGATCATTGCGTAGGCTTCTTGTCAGCTTGCGCTTAAGCTGAATCCGCTCCTCGCCATGTTCAGATCCAGATGGAATGAGTTTTCGAGCATCTATCAGTGCGGTAGATGCTACTGAGATCCAGTGTTGCTCCCTAACCTTGTGGTTTACCGTACTAGCAGATATCACTGCTGTTTCCACAGCTATTAGGATATCATTCCATGCTGCCTCGGGGTGGGCATCATATACATGGCTGCCTAACTGTTTTCCCAGTTGTTCCTGAAATATACTCTTAGCTTGACTATCATTAAGTAGGACCCTAAGAGGTTTTCTTGCAGAGTCTTTCCTACGTCCAGTAAGACGCAAGCAAATACGCGCTCGCGATATAGAGCATGATCTGAAGCTAAGCATGTGCTCCAGAATGAGGGACAGTTTTCTACCATGCCCCTCAATCGGTGGCTGGTAGCGATGTGATCTGTTTGGGTCCAACTTTGGGACGAATTAGGTGGTCGTCATGTTAAAAGATGTTTTTCCTTATGCCTAAAGTTAGTATTTGCTAGAAACAGGTGGTTGTCTGAGCATAGCTGCAACAGACGGTCTCCATTATCTGTTCTTTGAGCCACGATGCTATAAGATCTACCCAGGTGTCTTTCCCTATCGCTTAGTTTACCTACCTGAGCATTAAAGCCACCAACCACCATTACTACATCCGAGCGCCTAGCTTTTCGGGGAAGGTCGGAGAGCTTTCTGTAAAACTCATCTTCTACATCATCTGAGCTGCAATCAGTGGCAGAATAGGCAGAGACAACGACGAGTGTCCCTATCTCTTCGGATCCTTACTGTTCCGTTCAGTCGGACAGCGCACAAACGACTGTCTACTGGGATTCACCCTAAGAGAGCTGGTTCTGCCCTAGGAATCAATGCTATACCTACGCCGGCGAGGCCACGTGAAGCAGAATCGATACACGAAGTATGAATCGTGTCGGTTTTTTATTTTGGCATGGTGAGGTAAAATGAATGACGCTACTCGGATCCTGTAAGCACGTTTTGGAGACGCAGCACACATTGATGGCGCGGGATTCTTAAGTCCTAGCTAAGGAAACTTGCTGTCCTATTTGGCACAGTTTTCGGACGTTAAAAGCTCCTACGTGTAGTTTAGAGCGTGGTTTCAGGAGACCAGGAATATTGTTCCGTGTACTCGAATCGTTGGCCCTAGCGGTGCGAGGTGATAAAAAGACGTGAGAAGGGTTAGTCATGGAGATAAGAGAGGTATTAGGAGGTGTAGGAAGGATTTGAATGTGACCAACTTGGTCTCGTGTGCTGTTACAGGTATGAGTGCTGATATCACTTCCTGGCTACCCACACCGTGAAAGGGTATTTCTTGAGGTGCCTGAGAATGAAGTTGTATTAGTGTTGGTCTTTACGACCTGGAAGCGTGACAGCAGAACCCAAGGGACAATTGCTTGAGACCGGTCGCGCACGGTCTTTTCGTGGAAGGTTTTTAATGTGTTAGCCCTGTTCTCCAAAGGGCCTTACCGCCGGAGACGGAAATCCGTGAGGTAAGGTGAGGTGTGACATTTTTAGGGTCGACCTTTTCTAACCCCACCCCTCCTTGTGGGAAGGCAGCATCGCTGTCATGCTGGTTGTCTGAAGGAAACACCCTACTGCTGGCACACCTCTGTACAGTCAGAAGTACGACTTTGCCCTCAGACTTTGAGTTGCTGCTTTTAGTCTTACCGTTCTCCAATCGACCTGTCTGGCATGGTAGAACCTACAGGAACATATGTTTCAGCCAATATAGCTCGATTAGGTCATCACAATAGGCAAGCCCGACCACCACGTCAAGACAGCAGCTACGGTCGAGCAATCAATATTTGATCATATTAAATAAGTCAGCTAATAAGTTTCAGTGAAAACCTAGGATTTTTAATAGTTGAATTCATGAGTCGATTGAAGCTAGACCACTATGGAAAACCTCGAAGCACTGGACGGCCGTTTCGTTTTAGTATGGAACTCTTCAACAGTGCGCATCCATGATCCCACATCAAAGAGACTCAAATCCAGGACATTCTGTATCGTTCACGAGATGGTCGTGAGACATCGTGTATCAATTAAAGTTAGATGTTAACATCGTTGAACGCCAGACCAGTGGCCTAGAGGTTGAGCGTTTGTTCGTGAGACCGAAGGTCCTGGCTTTGAGTTTCTTAAGCAGGATCTTGGGTGCGAACTGTTGAGAAGTTCCATATTAGGACGAAACGGCTGTCCAGTACTTCCAGGTTTTCAATGGCGGTCTAGCTTAAATCGACTCATTAATTCAACTGTTAAAATACTACAATTTCCACAAATCCTCTTACTGATAAAAACCTATGATTGTTTATTTAACTTATGATTTTGCTTACTAGACTCATGCAATCTTTAAGTTTAATTTATCATGTAACAAGTCACAAATAAATTGAACACACTTAGGATGTATTGAAGTTAAAGGTTAGTCGTTAACGTATTTACTTAATAAAACAGTTTTCATAATAGATAAACAAATGCTAGTTGAATTAAATACATGTGTACATTTACACATGCTTTATGTTTTATGAAATGTAGATTGTTAGCATTTTTGTATGTATGTACGTCGTTTGCTGTTAGTTGGTTCTAAAGAATCTATAGGAATTGATTTCTCTAAGTTTTCGGCATGCAAGTATACATCAGTAAAAGTTTCCTAGAATTCTGACTGAACCAATTTCTCTTTGTTATCTTTGATATCTTATCTCGCTATGTAACAGTCGGTAAGTTACCAATGAACTATTAATGCCGAAAATGATTTCCTGTAATGTTAAAACATCTACATAGTCTATTATATTTCAACAGAAGTTTTTTTGTCAACTAGGCATTTTTGTCTGTAGATGTTAATATCTAAGTGATAATGTGCTGATTACAAGGACTGTTTAGTCTATATTGACTTGAAGAGATTTAAAGATCTATAAAATGAATAATATCACTTTAGATAATGATTTGATCGTCATTTATATACAAAACAATAGATAGTCTAAATGATCCATAATTTTTTATGATTTATTTTTGTATGATGATTCTAAAATTGTAATAACAAAACATTTTGTTTACCAATGAAAAAAAATGTTCTTCTTATGCAATTCTAATGTAATCCGATCCTTCTGTATATGTTGTATTACACATGTGACCCAGCTAAAAATATAATAAATAAAAGAATAATTAGACTATCTAGGATGGATAACTTTCCTAGGTTAAATAAAATTTTTAGACGAAAACCAAAGTTTTAGTAATTTTATAGTTGAATTCATGAGTCAGTTGAAGCTAGACCATTATGGAAAAACTCGAAGCACTGGACGGCCGTTTCGTTTTAGTATGGAACTCTTCAACAGTGCGCATCCATGATCCAACATCAAAGAGACTCAAATCCAGGACATTCTGTCTCGCTCACGAGATGGTCGTCAGACGTCGTGTATCGATTGAAGTTAGATGTTAACACTGTTGGACGCCAGATCAGTGGTCTAGAGTTTGAGCGTTTGTTCGTGAAACCGAAGGTCCTGGCTTTGAGTCCCGCATGCAGGATCATAGATGCGAACTGCTGAGAATTTCCATATTAGGACGAAACGGCTGTCCAGTGCTTCGAGTTTTTCCATAGTGGTCTGACCTCAACTGACTCATGAATTCAATCATAAAATTATTAACAAGAGTTTGTGATTTCCAAATGCCGATATTCAGAAGAAAAATTGGTTAATTTCTGAGGACATATGTTTTTGTTAAGTGGGTTGAATCGACTTGGCACTATGGCTAGAATTAGGATCCAAGAAGTGCATCTCATCTTATTTAGAATTTATAGGTTGCCTGTTAGGGGTTCATTTTTTTCAACTTTATTCATATCAATTCTTTTAAACTACTGGATAAAGGATTATTTTAGAAGTGCTAAATTATCTTCTGAAACTAAAACTTCCTGGTTGAATCAAAACACCGACCTAGTTTTCTTTAAATCAATTACTTGCACAACGAAAAAACACCAGCTATTAGGATACTTGACAAAGATGGCAGATTGGCTTCTGATATTGTGAATCTTCGAAGACTGAGGTGAAATAGAAGTGTCAAGTATGACAAACCACTGGTTATGTCGGAGAGAGATATAAACTATCAGAATAGTCAGTTTAAAGAAAGCTAGAGGCCACCAAATTAAGATGTAACATCAGTCTACGAAGTCATTGACTGTTCGTCTGAACCATGTTGTTAGTTGGGAATCTGTACTAAAATCATAGTTAAGAGTTGAAGTCGTTACGTGAAATCGTTTCACAACCATTTCGAAGGTGCAGATGCATTCACTCTTTCTGTTTCCGTCGATCCTATACTTTAAATTTATGTTATACTATTTATCCTACAACTTCATTCATTCTTCTCGAGTTATGTTCTGTACTCCATATCTTTTAACTACAATGGATGCTAATATTACTTCGTTATTCACCTTGACAATTTCTCTCTACGTTGCTTATTACTGAATGACTTTTAGCTATTTGTAAACATTCCAAAGTTAATTCTCATGGTTGAGTACAAACATTTTAAACCTAATATGTGTTCATAACACCTAATTAATACATTATGTTATGTGACAGTAGCTAGCAGAGGAATTCTGGACATACGTCTCATCTACATTTAGCTAGTTAGCTGAATATATCTATATCATAGAGTTAATGTTTACATCAAGACTCGGACCTAGAACTATTCTTCCTTCTCTTCAAAATACTTGATCACAATACTCATCAAATTATCCAACAGTGGTGGAATTTTTTTTACTTTTAATTACAAGGAATTGCATTATTTTCATTGTTGATGTCTAAGACGGAATTCGATCAGAGATCGATGAAATCTAGGCATTTGGAGATCTGAATTCCATTGTTAGTTATTTACTAAGACTATTGATTTTGTAAATACTAAAATTTCAATAGTTGAGATCATGAGTCAATTGAAGATAGATCACCATGGAAAACGTGAAAGCACTGGACGACCGTTTCATCCTGCTGAGGAGTTCCACAATAGGACGAAAGAGCCGTCCAGTGCTTTGAGGTTTTCCATGGTGATCTATCTTCAATCGACTCATGATCTCAACTATCGAAATTCTTGCAATCTCCACAAAACCTCTTCAAATACTGAAATGATAAAAAAATCTGACGTATGAAGTCCATATGTTAGCAGAAATTGACCAAAACAATAAAAGTATAAAGCTCTTACAAATGGGTGATATTTAGTTATGAAATCTCAAATCGAATTCAATAAAATTCAATATATGATAAATGATCTGGTGAAAATTTAAGAATAGTATGATATTATTCAGCCTAATCATCAGTAAGAGTAAAGACAATGATCTGATAGTGTACTCCTATTTAGTTGTATACACAGTATCATATACTGTAACTGTTTACATCAGAAACCTGTTAACTTTTAATTGAATCTATAATTCATAAAAGTATAATCAATCCTTAGAAAATCTAAAGTTTATTGGGTTACAATATTACATCACTGGCTAATAAGCAAGTGTGATTCAGACATCATACTGAATAGATATCAGTGATTTCATTAATAAAAAAGACGTACAAATTCTGTCATGTTAAAATCAAGGTGATTATGCTGGATAATAATTGGCAGTTAGCACCAGCGACTTTTTAAAAATTCTAACTCGTCATCTTGCATAACATTTCTCTTATAAGACTAAGGTTTAATACTGTGACCAGCAGTGAAATGTAGGGCACGAATTTTGTCTTATTTAAGACTTGTTAGGTACGTATACTTGTGCTATAGTGTAGATGTTGATAGAAAGACTGAAGCCCAGTATCTTATTCATTGAGCTACTTGTGACAAACTAATTATGTTAAGACAATGTCCTAAGTTTAGATAAAACTGATCAATATTCAATCCAACTTATCAACAACAGGATAATTCAAACTGTTTCCATTAACAATGGGAGTTTTTTGTTTATTTTGTTTAAATAATATCTACTTTTCCCCCTATTTGTACAATACCGCATTCAAATTGTATTAGATACCAATTTTCGGTGAGAGTATAATTTATGGATGACATTCGAGCGACTCTAAACTGACCTTCAGAGTATACACCTAATAACTAGGACAACATGAGGATTATAAACCAGTGTGCGGAATTCGAATTACGAATTACAGTTGATGGTTAAGGTTAGGAATTAGATCTAAAGTTTTGATCACGAAGTGACATCAGCTATAATACCTAAACTCTTTTTAGCCAAATAGATAAATGAAGGTCGCGCCAAAATCCGAGACCTGTTATCTTATATCTGATTGGTCCGTCCATAAATTATAGTCTCGTTCAATTTTCGTTTAAAAAGTTTTCTTTCTATGACTATATCAAATGTCACAGATTGAAATCATGAGTCAGTTGAAGCTAGACCACCATTGAAAACCTGGAAGCACTGGTGGTCTAGCTTCAACTGACTCATGATTTCAATCTGTGAAATTTCTAAAAATCTCCACAAAACCCATTCTGATAATATATCAAATGTATTTGTAAATAATTAATGTTTAAATTAAGTATTTACCTGACAAACAAAATGTGGTTCTACAACATGTTTGATTATATCGACGACATTTTCATAAAGTTCATTCAAAAATGTGGAACACTATAACATAAATAAAAAAAATACAATACTTCAATATATCAGAAGGGGTTTAATAGTATTTATGTCGATATAAATGAGAAGTGTAATGCCTGACGGCAGAAGTTTGAGAATATCGAATTGTTGAGAATGTGAATGTAAATAGAGTGTGATTAATTGCAATAGTAATGAAGGAACGATGATGTTTGAGACAACTGATGGAGGATTTGAAAATAAAGTACTTAATGTATGGTTTTCTACATTTTACGAACGAACTCTGTGATTTTGTATTCAACAATAAACTGATCTTCCTCACTTGAGTGTTCATTCATTACATATATATAATATTCTAAGTACCATTTACTACCATAATGAAGAATCGAAATTGACTTAAAATAAACTATGCTACAATATATCATATCTTTTTTTGGATTGAAGACAAGATATGGATTGCTCGATTTATTATTATTCTCTTCCAGCTCACCCGAGCCACTGGCAGCAAGAAGTCTGGTGTGAGTGAAACAATCTGCGAGGATGATGGGATGCCAATCACTAACATCCATCGACGTCTTGGACGATGGGCAGAATTTTTCGAAGGGCAGTTCAACTGGCCTGCTGCTCCGGCAACATCGGTCAGACTGTCCTGCTCTCCATGGCCGGTGACGACTGATCCACCAAACGAGGCGGAAGTCCGCAAGGAACTCCAACTCTTGAAGCGTTACAAATCACCTGGCCCAGATGACTTACCTCCGGCTCTTTTTAAAGATGGTGGTGACTTTTTGACTAAGGAACTGACGACGTTGTTTACAAAGGTTTGGGAATTAGAGAGTGTATCAACGTCATGGAATGAGTCGATAGTTGTCCCTATCTTTAAAAAGGGTTCACGTCGTTCCTGTAACAACTATCGGGGGATAAGTCTACTTCCGATTGCTTCCAAGCTATTGGATTTCGTCATACTTCACAGGTTGTTCAAAACCCGAGAAAGATTGACTCGCGAGGAGAAGGCTGGGTTTCGTTCTGGTCGAGGATGTATTGATCATATCTTCACCCTCTGCCAAATGTTAGAACATCGCCATACTTATCAAAGGCCAACAATCGTAGTGTTTCTTGACATCAGGGCTGCCTTCGATTCGTTGGACAGGACTGTTCTCTGGGATTGTCTATTGAAGAAGGGTGTGCCTGAGAAGTTTATTAACATCCTAAAAGCCCTATATAAAAACACCTCAGGCAGAGTGAGGGCATACAACCACCTCTCTCCATTGTTCCATTCGAGTAGTGGGGTTAGGCAGGGTTGCCCAATCTCACCATTCCTCTTCAACTTTGCCATCGATGACATTCTGGAAACAGCTCTGATGAATGTAAGTAATGGTGGTGTGGATCTGTTGCCTGGAGAAAGACTTCTCGACCTTGAGTATGCGGACGATATTGTCTTACTGTGCGATAATGCCCAAGGCATGCAATCCGCACTTAATCAGTTGGTAATCAGTGTCCGTAGGTATGGTATGTGCTTTGCACCTTCGAAGTGCAAAGTACTTCTACAAGACTGGCAGGATTCCAATCCTGTACTCACCCTGGATGATGAGCAGATAGACGTAGTCGAGAAGTTCGTGTATCTGGCTAGCTGTATAAGTGCTGGTGGGGGTGTGAGTGATGAGATCAATGCACGTATAGTGAAAGCCAGAGTGGCTTATACCAATCTGGGCCATCTTTGGCGCCTTCGTGATGTTAGTCTGGCTGTAAAAGGTCGGATCTACAACGCGTCGGTGAGAGCAGTTTTGCTCTATGCTTGTGAAACCTGGCCTCTCCGAGTTGAGGACGTTAGACGACTCTCTGTGTTCGATCATCGCTGTCTCCGAAGGATTGCTGACATCCAGTGGCAACACCATGTCAGTAATGCAGAGGTTCGGCATCGTGTGATTGGGCACAGAGATGATAATTCAATTGGTGTCACCATCTTGAAACACCGACTTCGGTGGCTTGGACATTTTATACGAATGTCGTCCCAGAGAATTCCACGTCGTGCATTATTTGCCGACTCTGGGACTGGTTGGAAAAAGCGGAGAGGTGGTCAGTGCATGACATGGTGTCGTGGTATGAAAGAAAGCTGCAAAGGACTGGCTTCTGTCGGTCCTTCACGACTCCCTGGTTGGGGTCTGAGAGATGGTGCTACACAGTGGCTAGAGACGTTATCAGATATGGCTGAGAATAGAAGCCAGTTGCGATCCTGCTGTAACCTTCTTTTACTTTCTTCATAATAGTGGTTGTGTCTCCCTTACTTGAAAGATTTCTTCTGATTGTACCTTTCTGTTCCATCGTTACGACCACACTACCTTTTGTGGTCCTTAGTTTTTTTTTCTATCTCTCTTCGAATTTTCATTGTTTTGTGTGGCGCTCTCTTGTACCAATATTTATGTGTTCAAATAAATAATAATAAATAATTTGCTTAGAATGCTTGTGAACTAAGGCAATATCGACGCAGTACGTACAGTATGCAAATATGCCAATAAGAGACTGATCAATTGCAGTCTTAAACATTAATGGGAAGATACAAGTGAATTTTTCACCTTTGACCTTATTTATTTTCACACAATCTACACACACACACACACACGCACTTAATTTCAACCCCACTACTTCATATTACATATGCATACATTTTTCACACTTTTCATACCCACATTCTGACTCACAAATTAATACAGTGATAGGTCAGACAAATTTAACTTAACATTGACATATGCAGACCAATTATGATTTTGATTGTACCAAAATTATTCTGCATAGTTTCCTTTGTACTATTTAAACTTATGTTAATTTAATTCGATTATTTATTTACTCTGAAGAAGTGATTTACATTAGGTCACGAAACCTCAGAAATACAATTTATCTACTCATTGAAATATGATAAAAAATGTATTTATCAAGGTTATGTGTTGGTTTTGATTATATTGCCAGTTGTCAGTAAGGCATATCTGTAATTTTGGTGGGAAGGGGAAAGAATTATAATCTCTCTCTTTGGTTTTGCACTTATGACGGCGGACCACGGGTGAACTCGAGAAAGCCGTAGGAGGCTCAGAAGGAGCAAAGATATTCCATCCAATCACCTTTTGGAAAAATATTCTATAATTCCTACGTGTAGCTTCTCCATTGGACAATGCTAACAACCCCTGTATGCGGATTGGTGGACTGTTGTGATGATTTCGTTCTTACTAAAAACTATAAATACCTGACAATTTTGTACTATAATTGACACTGTCTGGGATTAATATTCCTTTCATTAGTCTTCTGTCTTCTCATTGCGACTTGGAAGGGTTCTGGCGTTCTAGTGCTCACGTTATAAGCGGTATATCAAGAACAACCTTCTAGATATAACAGCACTAGTATCAGTCAGGGGTGGCCTGCTTGAGCATCTGGGCTACCTGTTGCTGCCATCTAGATATTTCAACGAGTTATCTATTTTTGTTTGTTTTAATGTATCATTATGTTTATTAATCGCATAACCTATTCTGCTGCGTTTCTGAAAAGTGTACAACCTTTCGTTGTCAAAGTTACAAAAAACTCAATAAGAGACAATGTGGTTGCTGGCAATATACAACGAAAAAAATGCACTTTATTCAGATGTTCATTTACTGGACTGTTAACATCTAACTGGCGATCACTCAATATTTATCGCAAGGACCGACCAAGAAGAAAGAAACGGAAACTTGTTGAAATACTTTACGCTGAAAATTCTATATTGTACCGAAAATGTAATATTGAATAAAGCTAATAATAATAATAATAATAATAATAATAATAATAATAATATTAATATTATTATTATTATTATTATTATTATTATTATTGTCAAAGATATTACCACTAGATGATCCAGACTATGAATAACCTTATAAATGTATTCAGTCACTTCGTTTTATTAGTGGATATAACTAAAACTGAAAATTTCAGTTAACATTTGATACACCAGGGTTTCATTGCATTACATGATTTGAAACGGACCAATAGAAAAGCCTAATAAGTTTCAATAAATATCGCATTCAATTATAGCGCTTCATGAGGCACATTCTGATTTTCATTAATATTCAATTTATTTTCTTGAGTCGGTCTAAGCTAGACCACAAATGAAAACCTGCAATCACTGGATGGGACTCCCCAGCAGTGCACATACACAATCCCATATTGGAGACCCAAACCCAGGGCCTTCGGTTTCATTCGCCAACACTTTACCCTTGGACCACTGAACTGGCATCCATTGGTGTTAGTGTCTAACTGCAATTGAACATAAATCTTTCACAATCCTTCATCCATCATCTAAAGTGGATAACTGTCTCCACTGGACATGGATTGGACTACACTGGTTACGGTTTTTCAACTTATTTTATCTGAACATTATTTTTATTCCAAATAACGAAATTAGTGCATTTATGTTCACCAACGATTGATTGTCATACACGAAAGAAATTCACAACTGGAATTCTCTACCAGAATATTCAATATAATCGTCTTCTATTGATATATTGAAAGCGAAATTGGATCTTTACAGTAATGCGAATTGCAGGGATTAATATGGTTCGATTGATCTCCTTTCCCTACTACTGTAGACTGAAGCCATATCAGGCTGTTTTACACTGAATAGGTTTGTGGTAGATAGTCGCTAATAACCTCAACTTATCAAAATGATATCTTTTGTGAAAAATATTTCCGAATATACAGCATTCACCAAATAGACGAACGGAAAAATGGTTAAAAGTTCTGGGTACGACACAAGTATTAAACAATGAAAAGATTGAGGATATACTCAATCTATATCAAAAAAACAACCTTGAATGAAATTTATGTCGTCATTATTGTATAAAACATAAAATGAAATTACAAATAACGCTCATAATTTAAACTAATACATGTACTACTTACTTCTACTTCCAATCTTACATAATCACATACATGTACAAATACAGATTGTAATTCATTTAGAAGAGCATCGGATAATAATATATTTTTGCCTTCCGCTACACTCATTAAACAAAGTGGACAAACTAATTAGGAAAAAAGGGAAGAAATTAAAAAGATCTGTTTTACTTTCCTCAATAAATATTTAAATGTTTATGTAATCTTTTAAATAAGTTGGATAAATAAATAAGTAGTATCTCCAGTGTATATAAATGACTATTATAAACAAAGATGGATGGAGGCTAGCAGTGAAATCCAGGACGCACGTTTTGTCCTATTTGAGACTCGACAGCTAGATGTCCCAGAGTGAACATCAACTCTGAGATACAGGTACATCCAGCTGACGAGTCTTAAATAGGACGAAACGCGTGTCCTGGATTCCACTGTTAGCCACTATTCATCTTTAGCATGGGAATCAGTTTGTATATTTTTCAACACAATTATTTTCTTTTTCTGTTAATTTGAATGGAATAATTATAATAATAATGAGGATACATTATGCTAATGATTATTTATCTGGCCTAGCATTCTGATTAGAGACTAAGCAATGAGGTAACATGATAAAAAACAGTATAAGACTAAGTATACTCATCATCATTGATATAGATTAATTCATAAAATCGAATGGGTCAAATTCATTAATCAATCATTGCATAGCAACCAATATCATAACGTTATTTGATGAGAATTCAACTCAACTGAAAAGGATAGTTTATTTTGAGGTTACTTGTTATTAATCTAAAATCAACTTATCATCTATTAAATCATACCAATAAACTACAACAAATTATAGTAAATGAAAACTGTAAGTTTAATTTCATTTGAGTCAAATAATAACCGGACATTATCAGTTTGTTTCATTAGTAACAATATCATTTAGTAAATCAATAATTAACAATAGTGTCAAGTTAAATTGTCATAGTTACTAAATAACAATTCAATATCAGAAGGGGTTTTGTGGATATTATAGTAATTTTAATAGTTGAACTCATGAGTCAATTGAAGACAAACCACCATGGAAAACGTGAAAGCAATGAACGGCCGTTTCATTCTATCGTGGGACCCTCAGCAGTGATCATTCACGGTCCCGCCTCGTGAGATTCGAGGAGTTCCAGTTCTTCCAGGTTTTCTATGGTGGTCTAGCCTCATTTGACTGATGATCTCAAATATTAAAAAAAAACAATTCAGTAGTCAGTGGTACTTTTTTAAGATATTGTTCAATTAATAAGAAAAAATATTATGAAAACCATACTAATTTATAAATAAAATGTTCTCACAGTTAATTTTCGGTGGATTTGCACATATCCCAGCAAGCTATGGATTGATAAAACAAAACAAAAATTGTTCAAAATAACCATAAATTTTTGTAACGAAACAGTAATAAATTGCAGAGGCATTAAACTAATCAAATTAACTATGATTACACTATGAAGTAAGAGAGTGGAAGAAAGTTAGGATGGAATCGGGTTTTATGAAAAAATCAAAATGATCGGTTTTTTCGACCGGATATATCTTTTAGTCACTTTCTTTCACTCTGAAAGCGTCAGACTGGTGAGGCTCTATTTAAATGAGAAAATGTATAACGAATTGATTGAATCAGTTAAACGGATTTAGTGGATAGTAATTTGGTTTGTAGGTTACTTTCGTTAAATATTGATTTCAGTTGGGTTGCAACAGAAAATCTAAGATCGTTGCACAGCTGTTTTATTCTAGCATAGGATTCCTCAGTGAGATGCGCCAACGAATTCCCCTGGGATCGTACTTGAAACCTTCAGCTCTGATCGTTAACGCTAATGCATTAGAAATAACAGATAAATGTCCACCGGTATATATCCAACTTCGGTCGATTTATATACATTGTGACGACTATACAATGAGGTGACACAAGTGAGCACTGCTAAAATGTCCCGTACTTGGACAAAATAATTGTTCAAAGGTCCGATCGTATCTCAACTGGGATTATTATTTGACGACTACAGTCTGTAAATTTAATGAATTGCTGACATCTTTCCCTTGTGGTTACATTCATATTTTCTGCGGTATTACATTACTATTTAATGCTTTAAAGATGGGGTTTCTTATCTATCGTATTAAATCATCAAACACAGTATTTCACTATTTGATCTCACTTCACACTACGATCTTACTTTAGTTAAACAACCATGAAAAAGCAAAAAGAACTAGGCAACTGGTTTATACTAGAATGAGAGCTCTCAGCAGTGATTTTCCACAACATACCAGTGACTGAGCCTATGATCTTTAGGTCTCACAATGGGCGCTTAGTCATTAGTCCGCTGAGCCTGTCTCCAATGGTTTATACTATTTTGCTTGAATCAATCTACGAGAATACGCAACCATCTCCCAATGTTATTGATAGGCAACTGGCTTAAACTCAATATGATTAAACTGCATTCGATATTGCTTCTTACTAGAACTCCGGGATTTACTTCTCAAAATCAATCACTAAGGAGAAAAATACTTCTATTAGTATAAAGCGTTTACGGAGATTTTCGAGTTTAATGGTCAACACCACATGATGACAGTCGTCATTTCTGTAAACTGTTTACACTGACAATGGAAATTATTCATACTATCGTATTTTTTTAAGACAACTTACTGCACATAGATCAGCTGAACTGTAACCATATATCAAATCATAAGCGTAATCCATAAATTCAGTTAATATTCTTTTACACTAGAAAAAAATATATAATCCAAGAAGAGAGTCATCAGTTTTTAAGAAACGGAATGTTGTGGTTGTTAAGTGGAATAGTGTTCGTTTTATCAAAGAAAATTGACTATTTTGCTAATGTGATTATCATAGTTATTAAGTGGAATATTATAGAAATTTATGACAAGTATTCCTAAACAGAGTATTCATTTTTTATATTATGGATTTCAATGACACCTCAGCTAATGTCCAGTTGTTGATGGAAATTGTTGTCCAAGAAATGTATGTTGATCACATGAAACAATGAGATATTACAACAAAAAACCATCAAATATCTATTTTATTTGTCAACGGAATTTAATTTGGACTATCATCACTTTTGATGTCATAGAATGTAGTACGGGCCCCAAATGCCCTGGGTGGCCGAGGGTAGGGAGAGTCAGCTCTTTTTCTGGAATTACTCTCACATGGCCGCGCGCATACAGCCACTCCTAGGGAAGTCCTACTCACTGCTTTCTCGCAGCATTATTATTGTTTACGAAACTGAGAGGAGGATAAGCAACTGTCCGGTGCATTAATCAAGTTGGTGGATATGGTGAATCCTGCTTCCAAACCAATGGTGCACAATCGCTCCACGATCCTGAGGAAAAACATGGCGTATGAACCAATTATTGGTCATCGGCTACCATGGGACTGCATCTCCTGACGTTGTTCCACAGCATTGTGAATTAAATCTTTGGGTCAAAGGCTTCGGGTCTGACCCGCTAATAAAACCACCTGCTTTGATCTGGGCACTCGAACAGTATCATAACCTACACACTAATCAAGTGACCTACATGGCACATATGTATTCGATGCCCCTCTGTACCAATATTTATATGTTCATAGTTTACTCAAAATGTGTTTATGTTCACCAAGCAGTTCTTTTTTATTGAGTTGATGGATGAATGTTTCATAGTGGAGTGTAATTTTTTTTTATCATCCTGTATCTCAACATAAACTATGCTAGACTGTTATGAATAACTTGGATCGTTTTAGGTAAAAAAGAAATATAATGATTCATTAGAATAAATTTTATCTTGTATTTCTTACGGGTTGATAAATATTTTTCAAATTTTTACAAGTCACTTCAATATGATCATGTACAAATTGTTTACTACCAAAGATAAATGTTTTAGCGAACCATAATCCAGATTTACAACCGAAACATGCTGAAATAAAGAAAGGAGTCAGTATCAGGGGAAGAGAGAGCATAGAGAGGAAGTTCATGTAGATAATAGGAAAAATAGATTATTGCTTTGATGGAAAATAACTCCTTCTGGAGTCCCTCCGGGGGCTACTGCCGGTTCCAAGACCGGATAAAGGAGGGGAGTTGGCCATGGAGTTAGCGTCCCCATCTCGTAGAAAACTAACTGGCTAAAAAACGCTAATCACAAAAAAATGATTCAAACCTTTGATGGAAAATAAACTTACAAGGATTAGCCGGATTTTGATTTAAGATAAAATGATGATATATGTGTTTAAATTGGTTGAATTTTATATTCTAAAACAAAAACAAAAAAATAGAAAAATACTTATGACTTGGTTTCACAATTAGGGTTGAATGGAGAGTGTTGGTGGGCGACCTATGCTCCTTCAAGTGGGATAACAGACGTAAGTAAGTAAGTTGGTTTCACGAATCGAGGCAATTTAAAGGGAGTTATAAATACTAGTGTTATATTTATTACAGCTGGATTTCTATGGATTAGTTTTATTTTTCTCTATAATAGTTAAGTTGATCATTTAATAGAACACAGAAATGAACTTAAGACATTGTAACATGAGTTTATTAATGTGTTTAATCTATACACTTATTTTGAATAACAATTAGCTTCATTATTTTCATCGTAAATGATTAATGGCAAATGTAAATAGTATTAAACAAATTTTGTATTGTTTGTAAGCAAAGATGGATAGGGACTAGCAGTGGAATCCAGGACGCGCGTTTCGTCCTGTTTGGGACTCGTCAGCTGGGTGTACCTGTATCTCAGAGTTGATGTTCACTCTGGGACTCGTACTCAGTACCGTTCGCTTCAAACGCCATCGCGTTATCCACTTAACTACTGATTCCTGCATAGTATGCACATATGCCAATGGGAAGATCCAAGTAAAAACAATACCAAGTGATTTTGTATTGTTTGTTTGTATCTTCCCAAACAAACAATAGAAATTAGGTTTAAACTCCACCGCATTGCACAAACTAGGGGCGATTAGGACTCAGTAGCTAAGTGAATAACGTGATGGGGTTTGAAGTTAACGGTATTGGATCTGAGTCACGAAGTGAACATCAACTCTGGAATGCAGGTACATCTAGTTGACGAGTCCCAAATAGGACGATACGCGCGTCCTGAATTCCACTGCTAGCCACTATCTATCTTTGCATGTAAATAGTATTAGTTAGTTTTGCCTGAATATAATAAACCCGTTCATTGAATAGTATATATATAAGGAAATGTAGGAGATTTGGTTTCAAATCCTGGTAAGTTGACACTTATGGATCACTTGTTACCCATGTTTAGATAACATTTTTAGCAATAATCTATACTGATTATAGAAAGAATGGTTTGAAAAAGCATGTAAGTAGCTGGAATAAAGCTGAAACTAATTATGAAGTCATTGACTGACCAATAAATTTCTTCAGTCTATTCGGTTTAGATCACAGTTTAGACAGCTAAGAAACAGAAGCTAATGACATTAGACGATGTGATTTGAAATATATTCCGTGGTACAACAAGTAAGTCCTTTAATTTTTAATTATTCACTTAGTAGAATTATCATTAATACTACAGTTATGAACCGTTTATTTATTTTAGCTTTACACAATATTAACAAATGTAACTAAAGGACTAAGCATTTTAACTGAAAGCATTGTTAAACAACGTTAGTTAATTGATGGTAAAAGGTTATTTTTAAATATGAGTAATAAAATTTGAATATCAATACAATAGAGTAAACTGTCTAATCGATCACTCATTAAAAAAATAGCCAGTATAATTATGAAATTGTACATCTCCTTATCTTGATCGGTAACTATGACATCACCTCTAGTCTGTATGATTGCTTTTCAACATATAAATACGGCTCAATGATCTAGAGGTTAAGCGTTCGCTCGCGAAATCAACTAGTCTCGGGTTCGAATCTTGCGAGGCAGGATCATGGACGCTCACTTCTGAGGAGTCCCACAATAGGACGAAACGGCCGTCCAGTGCTTTCAGGTTTTTCATAGTGGTCTAGCTTCAACTGACTCATAAACTCAACTTTGTTTAATCATATGTTTTGTATTATATTATTCGATTGCATGATGAATAATCATCGAAACTTCATTGGACAAAGAGTGTTAAACCCTTGTTTATGATTATGTTACTGTTTGTAATTTTATACTTTTTACAACTTATAAAAAGACTTGAAATTAAATAATGAAATCATTTTATTCTATAAATCTTGTTATACTCATGTTATTCAAATATAAATATGGACAAGAAAGTTTTAATAATACGCTTACATTGAATTCACTTTCATAACTGTTATATTCCTTGATGGCTGATGAAGCTTCATTAAAGTGGAAACCTCACAATATGAAATTATACTTACTTAGAATATTAATTAATGATGATAAAATTAATAGTTGATAAATCATAATGATAATGGAAGTATTCAAGAATATATATATATATATATATATATATATATATATATAGAGAGAGAGAGAGAGAGAGAGAGAGAGAGAGAATTTGTGGTTTTGTAAAAACTGACCTTTGATGTATTTTTGTTTTAAATGATCAAAGGTTATTTGATGATTTCCTTCAGAGAATACATAGAGTTTTAATATGATTATTTTATATTGCGTGACTTGAAAAGAATTTTGGATGAATTAAATAGAGATTATATGCTCGATTTACAGTCTTTTGATAGCATTCACATTGTGGTGATTTTCTGAGGCATTAGCAAGATTTGTAAATGTTATGATAAGCATATTCATAATCTAACAGTAGGTCAAAATTAGTTACGGATTTACTCTATTTAGGAGTTTCATACTTAATACTAAATACTTACGAAATGGGAAGTACGACATAAAGGTGAAAATGGGCACTTTGGGCGCGAAAACAAGAAATTCAAATGTCCAAAATAAAGCATTAATCAAGTGAGTTCTGAGGATCTAGTATCTAGCATATATATAAAGATGAATAGGTTTTAAAAGTAGAACAATTTTATAATCTTAAATAACTATGAATCACAACTATGCATTAGTTCGATTGTCACACTGAACATCTGTTTCAAATAACCATTGATTCAAAGAATAGTTATACCATCCAAATATGTGGTAATGTATATCTATTTATAATGAATACTTTCATAATTAAGATAAAAGAGGTTTTCAATTCATTTGGTGTTGTTTACTTGTATTTTCCCATTGTTATTTAGGATTGCAATTGAAAAGTTTAAATTGATTAAATGGGAGGATACAAGTAAATAATACCAAGTGAATTTAAAACTTCACCCCATTGCACAACCAAGTGACTATTAGGACTCAGTAGCTAAGTGAGAATCTGAAGCGAATGATACTGGATTCCAGTCCTAGAGTGGACATCAATTTTAAGATGCAGATACATTCACCTCATGTGTTTTAAATAGGACGAAACCTGCCTCTTAGATTCCACTACTAGACACTATCAGTCTTTCTTTAGAATGCCTGTGAATGAAGGTAATATACATGCAATACGCACAGTATGAACATATGACGATAAGAAACTGACCAATTGCAGTCCTGAACATCAATGGGAAAATACAAGTAAACTGTACCAAGTTGATTTAAAACTCTACCCTATTGCACAGGACTCAATACCTAAATGGGTAACGTGATGGCGTTTGGAGCAAACGATACTGGATTTGAGTCCCAGAATAAACATCAACTCTAAAATGTAGATATACTCAATTGACAAATTCTAAATAAGACGAAACACACCTCCTGGATTCCACTACTACTTACTATCCATCTTTGTTTATAAAATAAAAATAAAAATATATCGATTATTTTAAAATAACCTTAAATATAAAAAAAAACTATTTGATATAAACATAAAATGATCACAAGTTTGTTAATCACAATTCAAAGTTCAATTATCAACTCTTATTCCTTATAATGATAATAACAATAATAGTAGTCTGTTATTATACTTTATAAAGTCCATTGGAATGGTTATCAAAATGACCATTGTTTTATACAATACAATTACAATTATGTTTAATCGACAATTTCAATTCATAATTACCTTATGTATGTAATATATTTACTTTATAAATGTTTCCCTAATAGTAATCTTTTTATCTTATATTAAAGGATTTACTATGCATAATGAATATCTTCAAGTAAGTAACATCAATTGTAAATAGATTTAATAGATTAATAAATTAGTTAGTTATAGTAGGGAGATTTCATCAAGAATTAACATCAATTGAAAGAGTACTGAGAATTATAAAACAATAGAATATATATCAGAAGGAGTTTTGTGGATATTATAGTAATTTCAATAGTTGAGATCATATGTGATTGGCTTCAAGAGGTATAACCTGGAGTTCTAGTGGGGAGAAGTGACTAATGGATTTCAATCGGGTCTGTTGTGAGATAGTAAGTCATTGAAGACAATAGTGGATGTGTCGCCCAATTTGGTGGATCAGTTGAAATCAGATATTAACACCGTTGGATGCCGGTGCAGCGGTCTAATGGTTAAGTACTCACGTTCGGGACTGATAGGTCCCAGGTTCGAATCTCGCGGGGGGGGGGGCGGGATCGTGGATGCGCACCGCTGATGATCCCCATACTAGAACGAAATGGCCGTTCAGTACTTCCAGGCTTTCCATGGTGGTCTGGCCTCAATTGACTGATGATTTTAACTATTGAAAAAGACGACCATTGAAAACTTTCGTGTTACAAGCAACTGACGAAGTCTGCAAAGGACGAAACCTTATCATGAATCCGATGTTAATAGTTCATTTTATACTTCGTAACATGTGTATAAAAACTGTTTGTTACTCATTCATGTTTTTGGTATCATCTCGCTTTTAGAATGAAAATTTATTGAACTGTGAGTTTATTTTAATTTTAAAAAAGGTACTACTTAATTTGAAAATTCATGGTTTGATATCTTGGTGCAGGATTATCATGCCTCGCTTAATCTATAAACGAAAATTCAAATAACTGCGATATTGTACACGTCAAATAGCTGACATATCTTATTAATTATCAGTCTTTTAACCGTAAGAATGTGAAGCAATTTAGGTAAACACTAGTCCCCTTATTATTATTACTTAAAGTAATAATTCGTGAGAAATGGCTATTTGTGTTCCATACTTTTCCTCTTGTCTTCTTAACTAATGTTTTAGATATCATTTGTAAATAACAAGTGTATTTTTTTGAAAATCTTGATCACATAGTAGGTGAATATATCGGCAGTTGCCTATTAAAAGCATTAAAAGTATATGAACAATTATAAACATCAATAAAGAATCTACTTTAGTGTAACACAGATCATCGGCGTACAGATTAATGGGAACAAATATTTAGAATCATTTTAAACATTTGACCAAAACATCAGTCGAATGAACACTGATGGTCTAATGAAAATTAGTCCTAATGTGAAATTCATTTTTTAACCATTTTTTTAGACGGATCAGCTGAAATTACTTAAGCAACCAAACTATATGTCTTTCTCTAGAAGACTTTATTCAAATCTTAGCTAAATAGATATTGGGAAACACAACCAGTAACCACTTGTCTAAATATATAATTACTACATTAAGAAATCACAATTAGTGTTTATATCTAATAGTGTTTAATTCAAATTGGTTTATTATCTGTTATAAGATAAGTAATCTATAATAAAAAGATGCAAAACGATCAGGATTTGATTAACTGAGTACAACGTAACAATAGGTAACTAATCCTAAACGATAAAATATTACAACGGTTGAGATCATGAGTCACTTGAAGATAGACCACCATGGAAAACCTGGAAATACTGGACGGCCGTTTCGTTCTATTGTGGAACTCCTCAGCAGTGCACATCCACTATCCCACCCCACGAGATTCAAACCCAGGACATATCAGTCTTGCGCGCGAGTGCTTAATCTCTAGACCACTGAGCTGGTCGGCATCCAATGGTGTTAATGTCTAATTTCAACTAATCTACCAAATTGAGCGACACATCCACCATTGTTATCAGTGAGTTACTATCTCACAACAGACCCGGTTGAATTCTATTGGTCACTACTCCTCACTAGAACTCCAGGATATACATCGTGAAGCCAGTCACGGAACGGCCGTCCAGTGCTTCTAGATTTTTCATGGTGGTCTAACTTCAACTGACTTATGATCTTAACCATTGAAATTACTAGAATATCCACAAAACCCCTTCTGATATGAATAAAATATTAGTCATTATAGAATATTCTTAGATAATTCTTAATCAGTATATAATTCATATGATTACATTTAACAATGATAGTTTCGGTTTACATATTTATTATGTAAATGGTACAATATATTGAATATATTTCACAAGGGTAAAAGTGTTGAATAGAAAACAATAAAGTAATGGATCCAAATTTTACTCAGAATAAGTGAAATGCCATTTAGGATATTGGTAACTCTTAAGTTTATAAAATTCAGTATTATAAGGAATGATAAATATTTCTTTTATAGACAGATATATTCATAACTACATTATTTGTAAAATAGCTGTCAATACAATCGAATGAAAAATATACGATTTCTATTTAAGCGTGATAAATAGTCTGTTCAATGCATATAGAAACAGAGAGCACGAACACATTATTTTCATACAAAGTTCATGGTATCCCTTCAATGTTTGACCACGAATCTGTTCCATCTCCTTTTTCATCACTGGAAGTCCTTGAATAATCCGGTTTTTTTTGGTAGCTTTAACAGTTAATGCTTTTTAAAAACAGTGTAAACAAAAGATAGATTTGAATATGATACAGCATCAGTTATTTGGACATAGAGTCACCGGTTGGTAAACACGGGACATTGCAAAATTTTGATGTGTTCCAACACCAATCAACGCTATAGTCTATACTGTGATCTATTGGTCCATTGGTTCAATGTAGTAGAGTTAAACTAAATGAAACTTATTCTCAAAGGCATTCGGTGAGTAACATAGTCTTATACCTTCGGTAATATCCTCTTAATGATTAGCGATATTACTTATTTATAGTATGTGGTCGTTGCAATAGAACAATTGCTAAGGTAATAAATGATTTATCGGATTTGGATTTTCAATTGAAATGGGAAATGAAACTTGTCAATGGATGTAAATATACTGGCCCGCTTCGTGATAATGTAAGTTTTTGCTTCGAATCAATAATAATATGAGAAGGGGTTTTGTGGATATTACAGTAATTTTAATAGTTGAGATTATGAGTCAATTGAAGTTAGATCACCATGGATTCGAACCCAGAACCTATCAGACTCGAGCGTGAGTGCTTAACCATCAGACCGCTGAACCAGTATTCATTGGTGTTAGTGTCTAATTTCAACTAATCCACCAAACTGAGCGACACATCCACTAATGTCTTCAGTGTGTTACTATCTTATAACCCACTCGGTTGAACTCCATTGATCATTGCTTCTCAATAGAACTCTAGGAAATACCTCTTGAAGTCAAATAATGAAATGAGGATTCATAAAGATTATTCATCTGTGCTATGTATGATCAAGTAGTGGTCTTAAACTAGAAAATCATTGATTTCAAATTCATAATTCATGAAATAATGCAGATATTTTATTGCCCAAGTGAATGTTTCTCATGATATTGACTTTTCTAACCTGCTTGTTCTAACGTTGTTCTAAATGGAAATGACATCAGCACCTAATTACGGTATAAAAAAGTACCAATGAATTAAATTCTCTAGTTTAGAAACTCCAACACCACGAAAAATGAACACAGCATACAATAAAATGTTGTTTTAAATAGTACTGATTTGTACAATTCAACTGAACTACTACACAATTCGTATGGCTTAAACTAGAAAAATTAACTAAGTTATTTATTAACATGATTTCAAAGTGATGAAATAATAATTTTCACAAACACAGAAATGAAAACACTAAATGACTGTTTCGTTCACATTCGATGATCCACAGCAGTGCTCACTCACGACTTCTCCATAGATGAGGCCTTGAACCTTTAGTCGTCGTGGTAAAAACGCTCAACCATTAGAACTACTCTACTGGTGTTCAATGGCACATTTCTGATTTCGGTCAATTTACTATGAAGTTGGACAATTATCTAATGCTATTTCATTGCATACATATCGAGAATATTTTAAGATAGTTACTATACATTTCTAATGGCTTTTGTACTCAGACTATGCAGCTTTTCAATGCTTCATAGTTTTCATCAGTGCCAACAATAAGATCAATATGTCCCGAATACAACTTCTAAATTAAGTTCACAAAACTTCTTTAACTAAACAATTGTTATATGATTAATTTGTCACTTTACAGTGTGCATCATTATTCAGTTCAACAATGATTAAATTTATCAACAAATTTATAGTAAATATGAAACCTGACAAAGTTTGTAAGGTAAGCTATATTTTGAATATTTACCACCAGAATGTTTATTTCGTAGTACAATATTTTGAGAAGAAATATCGGCGAGACTATAATTTATGGACGAACTAATCAGATTTACGATATCAGGTCTTCGATTTTGGTGCGAAATTCACTCATCTATTCGTCAAAATAGCGTTGTGGCACTTTAGCTGATGAAAATCATAAATCTAATTCTTAACCCGTACCATCAACTGTAAAACATTAACTTTATTCTTCAAACTGTTTTATAACCTTCATTTAGCCCTAATAAGTAGGTAGACACTTTCAAACTCACTATGACTTCACTCAAAGGTCGTCCATAAATTATAGTCTCACCAAATACATCTTTTACATATTTGGGACCGCTTAATAGAGTTACGAAAATCTTATCCTAAAGTATTGAGTCATATGATCACTTTAAGCATATATGTATATACACATGCATCTAACTTAGAATATTTCCACATCATACTAATATGATAAATATGTAGTGTGGCGTCGAGTCGCGGTTGACTATGATCACCACTACAGTAAGACTACGTGCCAGTGAACCGATAAGATCCCTCATGGGCCAAATATCAGAAGGCAGTTGATGGCTGTAGTCGAGATGTATTTGTTGGCGATCACGTGGTATTGAGAGAATACCGAGGTTACAAGTGTGGTTACTGAGCGTGACCGAATTCGTGCAAGGTCACAATCAACGGAAGAATGTATGTGTTTTGGTACAGTTAAACAAGCAAGTATGGTAAAACAATCCCTGGTACAATTGGTTATAATAATAATTGTTTCCATTAAACCAATCGCGTTCTCTTGATAAAGTAGGTCACTACAAATACTTGCAAAATATAGTATTATTCATATTCAAGCTTTGATTTTCATCTATAATTAGAGGTTCATTCATTAGAATACCCACTATGCTCAATGAGTGGAATGAAACCTATGAAGATAGTCTTTATGACTTCATTTTTTTTGGATTTCAAGTGGTTTGATCTGATTTTAAAGACTTATTGATAATATTAACAGAAGCGATGAGTTCTTGGTATGAACCAAGAGACAAAAAAACATCGATAAAGATATGATGTAAAATAAGCCGAAAATCTATGACTTCAGCATCTATGTTATAAACTGATATAATTACGTATTAAAACTGTTATGGAATCCTCTTTAGGATCCAATTTTTTTGTTTGACTTATAATTAATCCTTTTGATCTGTATTCAATCAATTGTACTTTTCTGAAATTGAAGGAAATATAGTTTAGTACAATACTGTTATTCATAGGTAAATATAACTTTAGTTACATAATGAATGTTATTAGAATGACTTCACTAAACTGTTGGTCGAGAACTAGATCATTAGTCATAAATGAGTATGTAGAAAGCACTTTTCTACATAGAACTAACAGTTTGGTGTGAAATCTTGTTTCAACTACTGATTTATAACGTAAATTTGTTGGGACGGCTTCCGAGAACTACGACAGGGCCCCCATAAGCCCTAGAAGAGCCGAAGAGTTTCATCCAATCAGAAGGCAATGGAGCTTTCTAAAATATCAACGTGACATGCTACTATTGGTCAGTAGCATAACATGCCTCCTTGCGGATTGGTTGATTTAACAAACGCTAATATCTATAGATACCCATGATTTTCCGTACATTTTGATTCTAGTCCAACATGCACTTTCTCCAATCTTTTTCTTTCTTCTCATTTGCGACTTGAGAGGGTTCTAGCGTTTAGTGCTCAAGTTATACACGGTATATTCAGAATATATATAACAAAATTAACAAGGATATTTATTGTAGTAAACAGTTTTGCTCTCGTAAAGTTCTTTATATGTTTATAGATATTGATTTACTTAAATGTGATCTATAGATAGAAAGGCATTAATACTTGGAACTACAGTGTGTATTACTTGGATACCGCTGTCCAGTTTATCCGCTGTAAAATTAGGTAATGAACATAAATTAAGCCGAATTGAATTTTTTCAATTTCTTAGTTACAAAATATAAATAAAATAGGAACATATACGTATAATTTGAAATATGTAATCAATAATGAACCCTTTTAGTGATTATCCTTATTTTAATGATTACAGGGAATAAATTGATATTGAGTGCTAATATACTTTGCTGGTATAACAATTCGTGATAAAAAGTATCTTCGCAGTGATTTAGATAATAAAGCAAAGGTTGTTTTAATAAATCAAGGGTTGAGTCATTAACCTTTTGTGAATTTATTGCAGGGATTGATTTGATTCAGAGAGCAATTAAATTGACTTTGGAAAAGCGTCTGTTTTTCCTAGTTAGATTAAACCTTGGCCATTTGTTCAGCCCTAACAGGGTCATGGTTTTCATGATCATGTATATGACACGATAACTGCGTTTACTTTTAATGCTTCAATAAAAAAACATGATATTATAAACTGTTCATTATCTACTAGTGGAAATGAAGTGATTTTATTCTGTTACGTTCTTTAGTGCAAGCCAATCGATACTGTAAGCTTTATAACTCTTACTCAACCTCCTGTGGTAATTAATAAGGCATATAGTTTGTAGGAAGCTTTAGTGAAAAAGGGTGAATGAATATTCACATAAATATATATATATATATATATATATATATATATATATATATATATATATATATATATATATTTATAAATTTATAGACCTGAACTGATTTTTAGAAAGACATGTCTTTAGTAACCCCGGTTAGATTAATAAACCAACCATCCACTCACAGTAAGCTAGCTCAAACTTACTTTGCATACTTATTATATGTTCTTGCATGGGCATATGATCTGTCTGAATTTGTAACAGCATGTTATTCACCAGGAATAGCCTTGTATATTATTTCCATTTTTGAAAAATCTTCCTACACACATGAAATTTTGGGAGTTAACTTGATGACATGTTCAATATCATATTAGTACATATTGTTTAAAACATGAGAATCAGAAACCAAAGAACGTATCAGGAACGAAGTATATTCTCTTCAGGCTTCTTTTCAACTTCGTTATGAACTAATGAGTTCGTCTCCAATGCCATTCATTTCAAGTTCCAGTACCTTTATAAGTTTCTTTGACTAACATCTGTTGCTATCGTTGATATCTGTTTCACTCTACATGTTACAGAACTTCACTAGTTATTGATTCTATCTAAAACTTTGGTCAGTACTATCTCTCTTGACAGGTTTTTTTTAAGGGGGTAGTTACTTCTGCGATGTCTCAAAGTAAAATAAAATACCTGTTCAATATTCTGTAGTTTCTCTACCTTAAATCAATTCATGATATAAACATTCCTTCGAAAAAATGTAACTATTTTCATTAACCTCTTAGTATAATATCAAAAATTACGTAGGTAATTTTTAATCGTCATAAACACTATCTACTTGAAATTTTCTTTTCTTTTTAGACTTGTAACCATCCAAATCTCTTGAACACACCTATATTTCATATTATTATTATTATTATTATTATTATTATTATTATTATTATTATTATTATTATTATTATTATTATTATTGCTATTACTATTATTGTAGAGCTTAATGGGTAATTACTCGGAAAATTTGTATTTGTATTAAGATTATCAATTAGAACTTGATTCACATGTTGTTTACCGAATTATTATTATTATTATTATTAGTAGTAATAATAATAATAATAATAATAATAATAATAATAGTAATAATAAGTAATCATTAATAAAATGTAATTCTTTAAAGATTTTCAGCTAATTTTAATTGACACATTAAAGTTAGTAAAACAATAAGAAGGATGTATTTATTCAAGTGTACTTGATGATAAGAGATTTGATAATAATGATGATGACGTATTTTCAGTGTTTTTTTCACAAATATGTTCTGTCATAGAACGATACCATATATAATTTCTTAGAGATCAATTCTATGTTATCATAGATTCTATTTATGATAGAGTTTTATTCTTTGAGTTGGATGGTTTAGTTGTAGAGCTTTCATCGTTATTCTGAACGACATCATCAAGAAGAAGTAGGGTTTTACCTGAAGTTTATACAGATGATGTCATTCAGAATAACGATGTGATCTCCACAATCAAACCATTTAGCTCAAAGAACAAAAAACTTAATCAAAATCATCCACCTGAGCTATGGATCTTCTCTATCATCTCAAAATCATCGATTTTGTTTACTCGTTTCAATGGATGGTTGAATTCTGTCAATCGTATATTGTATCGATTATGTACAGAGTATATCGACATTTATTTAATTATATTTAAAGGGTAAATGATATTATGAATCTTCATTTTGGTTGTTACAACAAGCCAAATTTGTTCATTGTTCTATAACTTCTATTCAAAGCGGATTACCTTAGTTAAAAAAATGAATAAAACTCTTGAAAGACTACCTTTCCTTAACTGAATGTTTATATGATCAAAGTGAAATGTTATATCCCGACGAGAATAATGAATGGTATCTGTGGAAATCTCTTTATGGACTAATACTATACGTATACTTTCATTGTATAATTGTTAAGTAACTAAACTATTCATATTTGTGTTACTCTTATTATAAGCTTTATTTTGATCTATGAGCTATCATTATACGATTTAACAATTTTGAGTTATATCCAGTCTCTCAATTACTATCTCCCACATTCACAGTCACTTTTGCATTGATATTGTACAAATGTTACTTTCTATTTTATGTTGTGATGTGGTCTGTTTGGTTTATATCTAAACCCAGTATACTTGAAATACATGATTTACATCTCAGAGGATGAAATTGGTGTTTTGGACTTAACAGGCAGGACTAGACAGGAAGCAGGATCAATAAAGTCTCTAGACTGATCGTATGGGTTTTGTGTGCCATTAGTCCGGTCGATGAATTACCGTTCTCTAATTGTAAGTTATCATGACTTTATACATTAATAGGACATAGAGCAGAAGTTATAACACAAAGATCAAATTATTTGTAAAGATTGCAGCTTTTGTTACCTTAATTGGTTCACACATTGTTTTTTTTTCAAATTACTTCTTAATCTTGACTGAATACTATTAGATAATCGATATCACTGTTTCATGACCCTAAAGCTTTAGAATATACAATCTTGAAGGTAGTTAAGCAGATCTTTGAGGTGTAAACTTACTCAACTCAAATCTATATTAATTTAAATGTTTGAATAAGTCATTTCTTATGACACAATATATTATTTCTAAATAACGTAAAGAAATTTATGAACACGATAGACATTTGAATTTGGAATACTTTTCAACAACAATTGGTACGCAAAGAACATCTACCTTCTTCCAAATATCTGCGAAGAAAGTCTTGTGACACAACTCATAAAGATCTTAATTAAAAAGTGAGATCATGAAAGACTTTCGATAAAAAAGATACCTTCATAAATAGACAGCAGAAACTTGATATGATTTGGAAAGGTCTCTTGGAAATGATGATGATCAAATAACACAAAGCAAATATCGTCTTTAAGAGGACATCACCATGTTTTCAATTTACAGTAACAGAAATGATCTAGACAAAATTCAAACAAATCTGAAGAGGACAGTTTCTTATCTGTAGTTTGTTTGTTCATCTCATATTAAACATTATTCTGTTAGAAAGTTTTGTTTCCAGTCTTTGTTAACATCTGTAGGTCTTAATTTGTGGGATAACGATCAAAATGGGAAAAAAACATGACACATAAATTTATAAATATATTTCTAATAGTAAATCCACTTACTTTGAAGTGGTGAATTGGTCACTTATTGGAAACGTTTATGGCACTTCACACAATTGTTTCACGTTTCAGATGGATTTTGAACCCAATAATTTATTATTTTTTTAGTTTACTAAACAAGGCTTAAAGCTTGCCGTTGGAACTCTAGTTAACCTTTGAATGATATTGTTTTTTTAAATTCTAATTTCAGAATATATTTTTGTGTTCCATATAAGTTTCGTCATGGTATGACCAATTCAATCAGTTCTGTATTTATCGACAACCTTTAGCCATTTGGATTTTCCTTTCAACAAAGTTTACTACTGAAATATATAAAAAGTAGCATAAAATTATGTGACTAAAATATGTGATGCCTCTCAATAAAAATGTATTTGAATATAAAAATTACTTTTAATCATTAGAAAGGGAGTGGAAAGTGGGATATACACTGTTTAATACGAGCATCGATGTCACTAAATATTGTGAATTAAAAACTAATTTGAAAAAATAATGTAATGCAGTGTATAAGTTATAGAGCTCTATCTTGTTCTATCGACTGATTTATTAATCGTACAGAGTCATAAACGGTTCGCAATCATACACGCATTTATGCTTCTACATCAGCATTTCGTTTCTATATCACCTGAGCTTCACCAATTGAAGTCGAAGATTACTTCTACAAATGAATTAAAAACTGGAATTCACATACTTTTAGAAAGTTTCCGGTAGTGTGATAATTTCATGCAATTAGTTCGCTTTATGAATTTAAATAAAGCCAAAACGAACATTGATGCAGAATAACATGAATTCATTGTATTTGTTGGTTTCTCATCAGCTGCTTATAACCATATATGTATTAGAACTTTTCATTGAGTTAAGATACATTGTGGAACAATTGACATAAGTGATAATTCACCAAACCTAGACGTCGAAGATCTTCCGATAGCATTCATAATCCCATATCATATCTCTTCACTGCTAGTTTGTGTCTTTATATATGTGTATGTAGTTTGAATTCGATTTTTTTTATGAACTCAGTGCTTCTCTTAGTTGATTCATTTTAATCTGTAAATAATGTTTACTTTGCCTTTCACCGCTGTTCAGTTTTCCGGTTAATGTGAAATTACTAGTTTACACACAATACTGATTCAGATGAGTTTTGAAATATCTTTCATGGAGAACTACTCAATGCTGAGTTCATGGATTTGATTTTTAAATAATACATCAATTTCTTAAATATCTTTTGATGAAGTTTTGGAGAAGTTGTTTTTATGAATAGTAAACAAAAATGACTTACTTTCGTATTTTGCCCTATAAGACGAGTTCAAAGAGTTCTGTATGTTGTGTATAATACCTACATATTATTCTTTGTGTCTTGTTTGTTAACTACTATTGTAAATAATTATTTGACTGGTGTTAGTCTATTTCTAATATTCTGTTATAGTTGATGTTCTACTGAGTATAATATCCAAGATTATACCCCCTTGTTCTGTATTTGTGAACTTGCTACTGTAAAAGATATTTTCCATCATGTGAATGGTATTTTAAAACATCCTAGATTTTCAAGTACTCATTCTTTATTTATACATAATTAGATTAAATAAAGATCTTGTTGAAATAACGTCAAACCATGTTCCATTGGTTATTTATTTATTCATTTATTTTAACACATAGATATTGGTACAAGGAGGCACCAAATACATATGCACCACACAAATCTCATTTGATATGTGTGAGGGCTATAATACTGCCCGGGAGCCCAAACCGAAGCAGGTGGTTTTCGTAGGGGGACACATTCGAAGCCTTTGACCTGAAGGTCTGAACCACAAGGCAGTGGAGCATCGTAAGGAGATGCAGTCCCATGGAAACCGGTGACCAACGATTGGTTCATACGCCATTTGTTCCCTCACGACACTGGGGTCCATGTGCATCATTGATTTGGAATCAGGGTTTTCCAACTCCCCTAGGTGGACTCTCTGTGTCCACCAACCCGGTTAAAGTGCCGGACGTCCGTTTTTCGTCCTTTCAATTTCGTAAACAACACCCCCTCCACGAGAAGGCAGTGAGTAGGACTTCCCTGACAGAGGCTATATACGCGTGGCCATGTGAGAGCATTTAGAGAGGGAGAGCGGACTCTCCCCGTCCTCGGCTGTACCAGGGCATTTGGGGTCTATAGTTGTTGATTGCCGGTAGGCTTAGTCACTTGAAAGACTGGATGAAAAATCTACCAATTACTTCTAACATGTATATATCAACGTAAATAGATGTAAATATTAAAATTTCAGTTACAATTTGGGTACATTCACATCCGTTTGAAGATTATGTTAAGAGACATGTTGAATGTGTTTTCGATATTACTACATTTATTGTTACGTCGTTGATAAACAATTAATGGTGGCCTAGCTAATATCAATTAGTGATTTAAACAATGATAATTCAATAATCTCTACAAATACCACTATATCAATATTTAAGTGAGGCTTTAATTGTGACTAGCTAGTTGTAGGTAGTAATTTACTTCCAAAGATAGTCTTATTTTCTAGACTGGTTACAAAAGAATATGAATGATAATCCAGTTAAATCTTTGATTTTAAATATCCAGGATCTTTAATTTATCCTTGAAAATCCATAAACTTATGTCTTTGTATTTTATTCTTCCTATATTATCAATTTTAAGTCTGAATATTGATAGTTCATACTTAGCTCAGTTCTATCTGTCATCACGTTTGAATTTAAGGCGCCATTTCAAAAGCCATCAATCCAAATTGATTAACTCATCAACAAAGTAGACTTTTATAGTTTAAAAATTTTCCGTTGTTCGAACCCATAGTCAAACTCGAAATTGTAGGGTATTGCTATAAATACATTATATTTAGACCTACTTTTTGGAAACCGCTGATTCAGTTAATCTGCTATATGATCATCCATTTTTGGCAAATTTGTCGGAACCCGGATTTAGAGAGTGCTATGCTAACCTGGAGTCCTGAAGAGAAACGAAAAAGAGGAAGGCCGAAGAACACAATGAGTCGTGAATTGGAAGCAGACATCAAAAGAATGAATAGCAACTGGAAACAACTGGAAAGGTTTGGTCAGGACAGGGTTGGATGGAGAGTGCTGCTGGTTGGCCTATGCTCCTTGACGAGGAGTAACCTTAAATACAATATTTATTAATTTAATCAAATGGATGTAAAAGTATCTAATTTAAACTTTCACAGGATTCAAGTAAATCAATCTAGCTACCATATTCATTCTGCAAACAATCGATTGAATATAAGAAAATGAAAAGTAGACTAGAAATAATCTAATTTATTTACAAACTAGAACTGAGATTGATCTTACTAGTAATCATATACGTACTAATGATTTACTTCAAGATGTTTTTCTAAAGTTTTGATGAGAAGTCTTGACACGTAATGCTAGACTATACCATAAATGTGACAGGAATAACCGAAGACATTGGGTATCAACGGCTGAATGTTGTACACTGAAAGATGTAGTAAATGTAAATCTTTGGGTTCATATTTGTTCTTTTTCTAAAGTTATCAAACCGGCAGCTATATAAAATGTTGATTGGTATATACGTCTAGAAAGTATATATGAAACTAGCCTCAAATAGCTATCCAATATAGCTCCTTAAAATGATTCACCGACTTCTATGAACCTTTGTTGTAGTTCACCGTCCATTTTAGTAAATTGATAAGAGACATATCTCTATATGCAAAATCCCAATTAACAAACTGAAAATTGAAATAAAAACGGATCCAAATAACAAAAATGCTCATATATTTGGAAATTAACCTGTGGATTCTCACCATATTTGTACATTACAGGAATTCTTAGCTAGTGATTTCAAGTGAATAGAAATCGTATGTTGAATGGAGAGTTTGGATTATATTAATAGTCGTATGAATACTGCATTGTTGTATGACTGCAGAGTTAAAAAGCTTGAAGGGTAACAAATACAAAATTATTACATAAATACATCTTAATATTAATGCCAATAAACCTGCTCAGCTGATTGATCGCTGAGTAGTTATCAGATAGGAGTTTGTCTAGTTCATTAGTCTTGATTGAATTCTGTCAACCACCTTTCCGTATAAGCACTAGATTAGGTAATTCATTATCGCATTTACCACTCTAAGATGTCAAGTAGTTGAAAGTAGTAGTTTAGTGGACGCTAATCACAAGATTAATTGCCAGTAGTATGTTGCAGAACGTGACATCGAAGTTATCACAGTCGTCGAACCGAGTGAAGAGTTTTAGTACGTCGAAAGCACGGTATACTGTGTTGTTTGAATGAACTGATGATTCCTTCGTACTTGTTGAGTGCTTGATTTCGAATTCCAAATACAATACATTCGTTCGTGCTTATCTAGTACTTCTTGATCCAACTGAGTTATTTCTGGGATTCTTAGTTCATACTATAATTCAAATACTCCTGATCATCATATATACGCAAAATACTTGATGACCAGAAAAGGCAGTTCAGATTGCAGAACACATCACGAGATGCAAACTGATGATCGAAGGCTATATATATGTATTATGTAAATCCTGTATAATTTCCTTTCACAAAAAATCCTTTAAGTCCTTACTTAGCAATCAAACAGCTGTACATGACTCAATGCTACAGAAAGTCGTCAACCGTCCGAATAGCTCAGTTTTAAAGTCTGAGACTGTAAATACGGGTCGTGAGTGTTGAGATTTCAAAGATCCTTTCGTTTCTCTTAGCGTTGTAAGTGCTCTCTGCTGACTGGTGCAAACTAGTAAGAAACCTAGATATTATATATCTTATCGACTACCTTTCATCAACTAACATAATAAATCTGTTTTTGACTAAATGAATTTTTACTGATTTTTATTCTTAATGATTATAAGAATGGGGATTTGTGGAGATTGTAGTAATTTTAACGGTTAAATTCATATGTTGATATAAGCTAGACCACTATTGAAAACCTATAAGCACTGGACAGCTGTTTCGTCCTAGTATGGGACTCTTCGTTCTCCATTCTGACAAAAATTATGTGCTCACCTGTGATTTCCTAAAGTTCTAGTGAGAAGCCGTAACCAGTGGAGTCCAGTCCGTGTCGAGTGGAGACAGTTATATACCTCAGACAATGGATATAATGTTTCGCAAGATTATGGTCATTAACACCGTTGGATAGCGGTTCAGTGATCTAGAGGTTAAGCATTCGCGTACGAAACGGAATGTCCTGAATTCGAGTCTCCCGTGTGGTATCATGGATGTTCATTGTTGAGGAGTCCTGTACTAGGACAAAACTACCATGTTGTGCTGCCAGGTTTTCAATGGTTGTCCAGCTTAAATCGACTCATGAATTCAACGACTTATTGATTACTTAAGCATTGGTTTCAAACTCAACTGAATAGTGCTTTATTTTACCAATGTTACTTAATGTTCTTTCGATAATGTAATAAGAAGACGAAGATTATCAGAACTATGTGATATAACAGAGCAATACATTTCGAATAATCTGATCACATATATACTTGTTAAGAACATTTATATACAAAAATAAAAGGTCAACTAGACTGGGACTGGGGTAAGAGGAGACAAGGATAATAATAGGAGTAATAATAATAATGTGAACACAATTTAAAACCTAATCGCTCTGAATAATCAGTCAATGTTACCAGGGTAGGTATAAGATGAGAACAAACTGTTTTTGAATACACAAAGGGGGTTTGAATTTTTGTATGGCTAAGGATTTAATAAACCTTAGTATACACCATTTTACACTTTTAAACAACACCACAAATGCCGTGAATAACTCAACAGACATTACAAACTCCGTTATAGGAGTGCGCAGGTGCCGCTTCAGTACTTGACATGCAGCTGGTGTCAGTCGTTCCTGAAGTTCACGCATTGCTGGCTCTTGGCCGATGTTGGCTTTTACCCGGCAGTCTGAGGTATATTTCTGTAATCTTGCTTCCATCCAATATCCAACGCGCAGTAGCACACTAAAGATAGATCTCAGCACTGGTATTTTTCGACTCAGTTGATGCATCTTCAAAATTCGGTGACTTGTCTCAACAAAGTTCGTATTATTGAGTTGAAGTAGCGTTGCTGATGGTCGAAAAGCTGTAGACCATTTGTGTTTTCTCGGTGGAAGGTGGTCTCTGACATATCGGGCAAACGTTCCGTCCGATATTTCGATCAACGATAATACATTGTTAAAACTACAAAATAATATTATGTTGCTTTTGATTTACCTTTCAACCGTTTGAGTAAACATCAGGCGAAAAAATAGTTGTATTATTTCTGATCGTACCCTCTACAATTAAGGTTACTGGGTTAACGTTAATGAACGAAACACTTACCCTCTTTATAACATTGCGAACAAGGTGGACGCGACACAAGATATGGTGAGCATTGGGATACACCTGCATGATGGCAGCAGCTATTGCAGGTGAATCATCTGTCACAATGCCTACCACCTGTCGACTGTTGGTTGACCGTTGGAAGAACGACAAGAATCGAGAAATCAAAGTCGATGTTTCGCGACTTATAAATGCAATACAAACGGGTATTGCCTTCAAATTCATATCAAGGGCTACGATCTGATATAAATAGATATTCTCGTTATTCGTCTTGTATGTTCCGTCCAAACCAATAACATCACCGAAACGGTCTGCAAAAATCTTTTGATCACCAGTGCTGAAGAAAAAGTACGATAGACAGTTCTCATCGTCTAATTCGTATTCGCATAGCCCACCCAAAGACGTTATGTGCGCTTTCAATTTTCCGTAATCACCTATCGTTTACATTATAAATTGGCAAATGGCTTACCAGGAATGTTCGCCTGTGAGAACACTTTGTACCGCATATTGTAGATATCTTGATCATTCAGTAGTTTCCCATAAGAATGGTAAGCATAATTCTTAATGTGGAATGAAGCAGTACCAGATATTAGCAGCGGTCGCACATTTTCAAACTGGGCATCTGTTAACCTGCGCACCCATGAATTACCTTGGTACCTCAGGGAATTGCACTCGTGATTGTGATGCACATTCCCACGTACAACAGTCCAGTAGCCGTCGATAATCTTACAATACATGAAGGCCGGACTTTGAGTGTTCATGGAAGCCCTTCATGACAAAAAATATTAATAACATTTATAAAATTACCTCCCCCGTCTGATCCGCTGTGACGAACCGCTAGATGTTATATGGCCATGTCTCCAACACACAAATTTAATGTACGAGTTTTCATTTATGCAAGAATGCGAATCTCGAACTACATAATGACAGTAAGTTGATCTTTCATAATTTGTGATAGCGGACTTCAACGCTTCAACCGATGGGAACGCAACGAGAAACAACGTTGTCAAAAAGACTTCCTCTATTTCTGTTACGTGAGAAACAACAGCGCTTGTACTAGGCACGTTACTGTCCTCCATAATGATGATTAAAATGTACTTCGTCGACAAGTACTGATGTTTTATACCAATCCGACAAAACATAACTAACAAATTAAAAACGAACTTCAAAACTAGCCATTTCATTGGACGAAACGGGATGAAAAATATTGCAATTTTGGGTTGAAAAAACATTTTTAAAAAGGGTGGGTGGGTTTTTTTTTTAAAAATTGCCGTGGGGCTAATGAATTTCATCTTTTTCGATGGTTTTAATTATCCCAACGGCATTTTTTGTTTCTGCAAACATTTTGGTACATGATTACACACCCTAATTTTGAGATCACGATTACTCCTCCTTGTCTCCTGTTAACCCATTCCCAGTCTAGTTGTTCGAAATGCATTGCTTTATTATATCACATAGTTCTGATAATCTTCGTCTTCTTATTACATTATCGAAATTTATCAAATGGACTAATTGCTTTAAATAATGTTCTTTAAAATCAATGAAACAGATAAACCAAACATTGATGTACTCGTTAAATTTGTGTTTGTGTGCATATGTACACTTCATTTAGGTAAGTATTTTTAAACTTCTATTTGATATTAGCAACTATTAGGAATCTTAATTAAAATTAAAAAAGAAAGAGAATTAATGTTTTCTTTATACATTTGAGTAAACTTAAATTACAATCATGTCTATAGTAAATGATTGATTGAATTAACTAAAACGTTACATAAATAGTGCAGTCTACATTTTGTATTTACATTTTTTGATATGGAGAATAAGAGATAGAGAGAGGGAGAGAGGGAGAGGGAGGGAGAGAGAGAGAGTGAGAGAAAAAAGAAAGAAAGAAAACAACAACTCATTATTTAAATTCTGTTTCTATAGGTTTATATGTCTACTGTTTATTCATATTTGGCATGTGTGGTAAATACATAAATGTAGGTTATAAATAAAATAATTGTTTAATTGTTTACAATTTAATAGATTTTTTCTATTCATGATTATGATACCATACCTTAACAATAAAAACAATAATAATAATATTATTATTACTATTCTGTTACAATGTATTGGATTAATATTTGGTTGGTATTATACATTTCATTTCATTTCCTTATGAATTCAGTTAAAACAGAAACTATTCATGGTAGTTATGAAATGATTGTTCGGGTAAGTTAAGTAAAAATGAGGTCTAATGATCATTTTCTTTCACTACTTTTTTTTGTATATTTATTTAAAACTACTATTTGGATAGATCAGAATTACTGATTGTATATAAGAACTTTCGTCTAAATTTAAACGAATAGTTTCACAATATTTGGCGCCGAGTTCATTTGAGACATTAAAAAGAAGAATATATTTGTATATTTTCATAATCAAACTATATGATGATAAGATAGCAGGTATAGTAGCTATCATCTTATTTGGGGTTTGTCAAATAGATATGTTTATATTTTGTAACTAGTATTCATTCCGAAATTTGAAACCAGTATTGATCACTTTAAAGTTAGATGTGTTATGCAATCACTAAATGAGTTGTGAAAAACGTACAGGTTATTCATGGAGTATAATATTGATAATCAGGACTCAATAGCTAAGTGGAAAAACGCGATGGTGTTTGAAGCGAACGGTATTGAGTTCGAGTCCCAAAGTGAACATCAACTCTGAGATGCAGTTACATCCAGCTGACGAGTCCCAAATAGGACGAAACGCGCGTTCTGGATTCCACTACTAGTCACTACCCATCTTTGATTAAAAAGCTTGTGACTTAAGACTATATCGAGGCAATCCGCACAGGATGCACATATGCCAACATGAGACTGATCAATTGCTTTCCTAAATAACAATGGGAAGATACAAGTAAAAAACAGCACCAAGTGAATTTAATGTTGATCATTGTTTGTAAAGACTAAAATCTTACTTATGTTCATATTTTCTTAAGGAATTTAGCAGATGAGTTTCAAATTAGATCAACAACTCAAACACTCAGATATTATTCATGAAAGAAAAGAAAATTTTAATGGTAGGTAGCATTCAGACGTATGTTGAAGGAGCCCATAAACCAAGAAAGATTGATCTTTTTTATTTCTGATATTCAACAACGACAAAACACAAATCCATATGAATAATAGTACATAATAGATTTGAGGAATAGTGATTTTGATGTATATTTATGAATGAGTTCGTTTCATTTAATGTACCGATTTGTTGAATTATCAACGTTGACTTGATTCAGAGGTGTAATATTATTCAGTAATGATAAATGTAATTGGCACTATTTCTTGAAGTGAATTATTTCCAGCGAATAAATTGTATTAGGTCATGTAATATACACAGTCATACTTCTTGTTATTTGGGGAAGGGAATTCGTTTAATTTCCACGACATCAAGTAAAAACCCAAAATCTCACACAATAAAGATTTATTGACACTGTACAAAAAAGGACACTGGACCAAATGCACTTAATCATGTACCAATTTTACACACATTTAATGATTAGTTGATAAACAACATGTAAGTGAAAAGATACACAGGGCTACTGTGAAACAGACCACAATACTGATGATTTTTTTTTAAAGAACATGATGCTATTGAGTCTGGTTATCTGTTGAGATTAAATAAAATTACTGATTCTTTTTGTCATATCATATAAAAATTGAACCATAAATCTTTAGGTTACTCATCATCTCCTATAGCATTATATCATTGAGTCAGAATTGTATAGTTCCAGAGACAGATTTAAGTAAATTCCTGATAGACAGACGAATGTATTTGCAAAGCAGTAAACATAAAACCAAAAAATTCCTTTTCGATAACCGTTAAATAAAGAACACTTCTTAAGTATCACTTAAAGTTATATAATAAATGTCGGTGACAAACTTTCTTAGCTATTTATCAGAGGTGACATTCTTTTCTTTACCTTTGCTGTTCTACAGATTCCCAGTTGTATTTATATAATACTGTCATATCCCGACGAGAATCGTAGCTATTGGGATCCATTTATACACTAATATTATATGTATACTTTTATTGTATAATTGTTAAGTAACTAAACTATATATATTTATGTTTCTCCTACTATAAGCTTTATTTCAACCCATAGATTATTATTATACGATTTACCGTTCTTGAGTTATGCCCTGTCTATTAATTACAGTCCCCCACATTCACAGCCACTTTTGCATTGATATTGTACAAATGTTACTTTCTATTTTATGTTGTGATGTGGTCTGTTTGGTTTATATCTAAACCCAGTATACTTGAAATACATGATTTACATCTCAGAGGATGAAATTGGTGTTTTGGACTTAACAGGCAGGACTAGACAGGAAGCAGGATCAATAAAGTCTCTAGACTGATCGTATGGGTTTTGTGTGCCATTAGTCCGGTCGATGAATTACCGTTCTTCAAATGTCGGTATCATTATGTTATATATTAATAAGAGATAAGGACACAAGTTATAACAAATACTATTTCTCAGTAAGTATAGTTACGCTACTTTACATAATTGCGACATTACATTTTCACTGAATTATATCAGTTACTATAATCCAAGTCATTGACGAATTTCGTTCTGATGCATTGTAGTCTTTGGTAGCCACTGATCGATTCACCAGTTGTATGTAGCTGAAAATAAGTTGATTTGTTCAGTTTTCAGTTTTCTGAAAAAAGAAACTTATTACCTAGAATTAGATGAAGGAAAGAAATCTGAATCTTTTCAATCATTTGTTGAAAAGAAGTGGTCTCATCACTAGAATGTTCATGATTTCTGTTAAATTATAACTTATAGTCATTTATTCATTGAAATCATAACGGGAACTATTGAATGGGATCATATAATGAAAGTGGAGAAGATTTGTAGTTCAGCTGGATGATTTTGATTGAGTTTTATTCTCTGAACTGGATCGTTCTTCTGAATAACATCATCAGCACAAACTTCAGGTAGAAGTTGATGTCGTTCAGAAGAACGAGGAAAGCCCCACGATTAAGCCATCCATCTCAGAGAACAAAACTCCATCAAAATAACATACCATCTTAAGTTTAATGATAATATATGATTCTGTTACAACTGAATCATATATTATATACCTAAATGAATTAATCTATGACTAACATACTTAATAAGAGTTTTACATAGTATTTCCGTATTACACGTACAAAATCTCTAGGGTAAAAAAGAAGAAATATGATATCAAAATCAAAAGCCTAAATGATTTTAATCGTAAACAATTGTTTCGATGTTTACTTTAACTAATCATGATATTTTCAGCAGTAATCGATGCTGTTTCCTTCCATAATAGCAAGGAAAAAAAGATGTATAGCACATATATTCAAATGCATTCAATTACTAAAATTATGATTAAGCGAAAGCCTGTAATAGTTTACAAACAATCGATTGTATATGATGATAGATTGGAAAAGCTTAAAACACAATTTATCGGTGTATTTGTCATTGAATTAATTAAATGATCTAGTGGATGGTACGGTGTTTCTTTTATTGTAAATATTTCAGAAGTAGGCTAGAAAGCATTTTTCCAATATATGTACTCACATTAGTTACAAAAATCACTACTTTTGGTGGGTAGCTGTATACATTCAGCAGGAAGCCTCAGATCCAGGTTTTATGCTAGTTGGCATTCATCAATACAGTGTACTTGCAATCTTTAAAGAACTGATGTTCCCACATTAGACTGGGTGATGAAGGTTTGAATCGAACAATCAATAACAATTCCATCAAAATTCGAAGTGTCTTTCTGGCGAGCAGCAATTAACACCAGGGTTACTAATGTGCAGATGGTGAAACACTAATCATAAAATAATTATGAAGTAGTCATTTGAGTGTCTAAACACTCGACTTTTAACTGGGATAAGTGAAAATCTCTGTCTGTATTTACAAATTGAGAATTGCATTTCAATAATACACAGTTTATTGCTTAGTATATTCTATTATCAGAATTAAGCAATGATTCGTTTTGTCTACGAACTAAATTAGTTCAACTCATTCAACTTAAATCGAATTCACTATTTTATGTAATAGTAATTAAATATAGATGTATAATGAAATGAAATTATTGTCCAATTAAGACTTCAAATCAATTCTTTGAATCAATTCAATGTATTATATCTTTGAAGTACTTCCAAAGATTATTGTCTCTTCAAGTACCGTAAATTACGTTGAACATCCGTTTATTTAAATAGTTTTTTTTAGGGAATTTGATCTTTTTAAAAAAGCTGGTAATTATACAACTACCGAATACATGAAAGAATTAAAGTAGCATTTTATTTTAATCTAAAAATGTTTCTATGACTGCTTTCTAATCTAATCTAAAACAGATAGGTTTTGTGGATATTATGGTAATTTCAATGGTTAAGATCATTAGTCAGTTGAAGCTAGACCACTATGGAAAACCTGGAAACACTGGACGGCCGTTTCGTCCTATTGTGGGACTCCTCAGCAGTGCATGTCCACGACCTCGCTCCCTGTGAGGTTCGAGCCCAGGACCTACTGGTTTCGCGCGCGAACGCTTAACTTCTAGACCATTCAGCCGGCTGGCATCCATCGGTGTTAATATCTAACTTCAACTAATCCACCAAATCGCGCGACACATCCACTATTGTCTCCAGTGAGTTACTATCTCACAACAGACCTGGTTGAACTCCACTGGTCACTACTTCTCACTAGAACTCCAGGATATACCTCTTGAAGTCAGTCACTAGTGAGCATATATTGATTAATATCAGATGGGTTTTGTGGATAATATAGTAATTTTAATCGTTAAGATCATTTAAGGGTAACCTATTGATCTTAAGATGAAGTTTTTAATCTTAGTTGAGAATTGAGATTGAAGTTTATATTCTTAAAGAATTATAGGTTGAATCTTCAGTTTTGATTTAGACCATCAGTTAAATTAATCTAAATCATTCTTTAATATAGGATTTTCTTTTAAATACACATTAAATCAAAGATAGTTAGAAAATTCTGAATATAAGCCAACCAGTAAATATTCTCCTGAAGTTCATTGTATTCAATACGGTTATCTTAAAATATCTATTATGTCCTTAGCTATACGATTATCATGAAATATGATTGTCAATTTAGACACGCTGACTTATATGACTAGACTAATGATGAATACATCAGTGTGGACAACCTAGAGTCTCGACTAGTCCTTTTTCCGCTTAGCCCTGCCTGTTGAGTCCAGTACGTTAATCTCAGCCTCCTCGATACCAATCATATATTATAAACCTACTTGATTTATATACAAACAAATCAGACCACATCACACTATAAAATAGAAAATAACATTTATACAATATCAAGACAAAATTCGCTATGATTGTGAGGGACTGTTACTAATAAATTGGAAATATCTCAAGACTAATAAATCGTATGATAATAGTCATCAGGTCAAATAAAAGCTTATAATGAAAAGAATATGACCATACATAGAATATAGTCACTTAATAGTCATACAATAAGAATATTACGTATAATATTAGTTCATACATAATTCCCAACGGTTACAATTCATTTATTCTCGTCAGGATATAACAATATCAATCTTGTCTTTTAGTATAGTATGGAATGTTTTCACATTAAAATAATGAAATGACTATTGATATGCTTTCATATTGTTATGCTTATTTACCTACAACAAATTCAACGTTTTTCCTAAAACTCTATTCTGCAAACTATAAACAATACAAATAACACCAAATCTGTTTATGCTATGTAGATGCTTTTTTTTATTAAAGTAAGAACAACAAACTTAAAATCGCGGTATGAATTCATTCATTTCATAAAACCTTTGAATCTGTTTACAATGTTGAAACAATAGCGATAATTTAGTTGAAGATGTTTTATGAAGGTTACATTTATCTCAGACTGATCTCATTTGGAAATCATTGAAAGTCATGGTACACTAGACAGCTGTTTCGTCATTTTATGAGACATTATCAATGGACGACTAAAGCTTGATGAGGTTATGAATCCAAGACTTTGAAGCCTCAAAGCGAGCTCTCATTTCTAAGAAGTTTCATACTAAAGTCATGAAACTGTTCAATACGACTTGTTTTTCAATGGTAAACCAAGTCAGATCAATATGTGACAAACAAGATCTACAAATGAGATCGATTACTTGAGAATAATATATATATCTTATATCATATTAAAAATGGTAATGAATACGGGAAAACTACAAAAATGTCCTAACAGTTGAATGTTTATGTGTTAGCATAAACATTCTGAGAGAAGACTAATAAAAAAACAAAAGAAGAACATAATTTTTTGGTAAATGACAGCCAATACTGAATGTTACGTAATAACAACTGTAAAAAATAAGTGAATAAATGTGGTGCTTGAATTAACTAATGATTCTTTTGTACTTGTTAAATGCTCGATTTCGAATTCCAAATACAATACATTCGTTTGTTCTTGTATCGTAGTTCTTGATTCAATTGCGTTAATTCTGGGATTCCTATTTCATACTATAATTCAAATACTTTTCAGATATTATAATCGGTCAATAGTGTAAAACAAGTAAAGATGATAAAAAAAATAACTTAAGAATGTAAAAAATAATAAAAGTCACCAGGGTGTGTAAGATTGACAATTGTATACTTTTGAAGGTAGAAACTACTTTTCAACCTTTTAATTGATATGCCCTTCAAAGGGGCAACATTATCAAATTAATGATGAACAGTCGAATTGTTAATAACATGTTGTTGGTGTTTTATAATTGTGCTATATTTATTGCCATTATTTCACTGATTTTCATTGATGTGAAATAAAGTATATGCATTCTTTTATGTTCTTTATTCTTGCTTGATAGAAATTATTTTAATGGGATAGATGACCTTTTGTAATGTTTGAAGTAAACAGTTAAAGATCAGATAGAATGATCATTTTAAAACTTCATTAGATCTAGAAGGCTTAAACGTTGTTCCACTTACTGTTCAATAATACATTTTTTTTGGTTTTATCAATAAATATTCGTCTCCCTTCTTTCTCACTTTTAACCCCTCTCTGGTTTTTTTTACAGACTAAAGACCCGAAATCCTTTAATGGTAAATGTAAGTAATGGTTATTTGATTAGTTTCATTTCAATTACAGTTATTAATTATCATTACTGAGGTGTAACACTAGTTGAAGGTTATTTCGAATAACATTGATTAATTTCTCATAGAAAATTATGATTTATTTAATGAAGTAATTATTATGAACTAAAATGAATCCAATTTATACTGGCTACTACTAATTGTGAAACCCAATTGCAATCAAAATTAGATTTCATAGATGGATCAAGCCTAGAATCTTTAGATCATTTGATGATCATAATTTGTGTAGGTTACTAAATAAATATTCGTTATTTAACATTTCCTACTTCATCCAATTGTCATCTAGTGATATCGATGATAATTGTAAAGTGGAAGAGTTCTTTGTAAAAGTCAGACAGATAAAATACCAATTTAGGGTCAGCAGGGCGGCTTGGAATTTAAGTATGGAATGGCTTTTAAAAGAAGAGGATTATGCATCTGATTACGGTCTCTCCTCATATGTCGTTTTCTGAGCTAACGAGGGCAAACATTATAAATCCTGATGATTTTTCTATATTATGATTCAATTTTGTTAGTTTATATCCTTTTACTCTTCCCAGTTTTCGCATTTTGGAAACCTGGTTGATCACCATTAGAATCTCTAAGTCGTAAATGAATTAAATTAAAGACTGTAACAGATATCTATGTCTAAGCTGTTTCACCTGAACTTCACTAGTCACTATATTTCACAAAGACTTGAAGAATACATGAGTGGATCTAAGTTAGACAACCATTGAAAACCTAGAAAAATTGTACGGCCGTTTCGTTCTAGTATGCGACTTCTCATCAGTGTGCATCCACAATCCCGAGCAGAGGACTTGAACCTAGAACCTTCGGTTTCACATGTGAATACTTAACCGTTAGCTTAGATCGACTCATGAATTCAACTATCAAAATTACTACAATCTCCATAAACTCCCATTCTGATTAAAATATATGTTTGTAGAGATTGTTAGCGGATTCATAAATGGAAATTTTGTGATCGAATCCCGATAGGGTTATATGTTTTCACTTTTAATTCCCATACTACAAAAGAGATTATTGTCTACCAGTTCTCGGTTTCTTATTGGTTTGTCAGTTAATGATACGTTATAATAAATACTTACTAATTGTATTTAGTTAATATTCGTTAAACGAATATATTTGGTCTTTTAATTGACATATGTCGAATTCATTTGTTTTTCCGCCATAATTTAAGCTAATACAAATAATTTCAACTAATAATTTTTTTGGTGTAAATTTCAATCATCTGAAACTTAAATTTGGTTTATTTTAATCAATTTAAAAATAGTAATTTAAAATCTTAAACTTGTCAATCAATGTTTAATGTTTTGAAGAAAAGAAAGTTCTATGAACATGAGATAATTGAATGTTTTAAGGTGCTGGTTAGAAGCACTCGATAAGAAAACCCTGGATCTAAGTTACTTATTATCTGACACTCATCATCAAGGTCTCCTGGTATTCTTGGAAGAACTGATTTTTTTATATTATTTGATCCCTTGACACGTATTTCATAGTCAGAGACATTACTATTGAGCTATTAGATTAACTTGATCGACACAATCTGATCAACAATAAAGAAGATATAAAGTACACTAGACTGGTTACTACTCAATGGTCAATCAGTTGTACATTCATCTGTTTGTTGTTCAGAAGATCATTCGCGGTTGTAGTAGATCAGTGGTAATGCCCATGAATGTGAAATAGTCGAAACCTACCGGAAGGATCAATTCTTTCAGGAGTACAGGTAAACCTTGAGGATGAGTACCATTTAAGATGAAACACATGTCCAGGGTTTTCTTATCGGTTACCTTCAACCACTATCATACATTTGATATATAGTGCACGAGATATCTAATCAGTGAAATAAGCTGCCACATTGAAAACTGGTTGACGAAATTCGACCAGCACTAAGAAGCATTTAACATGTGTGACACTGGTCATCACTCATTGATCAATCAGTTGTAATTGATATAGTATTATTCGATAGATCGCTGCGAAATAAAATAGTAGTATAAAAGTGTTCAAGACATATTTTTAGTTATCAGGACAATCTAATATTCCTTATGCTAACATAGGATACACGGAAGGCGGTTTATATTGTGGACTTGTAACAATTAAAACAAACTGGATTTTTAATACATTGTAACAATGAGCTAAAATAGATTTCATTCAACATTGAATATTCTTGTCAACTTATCAACAGATAAGCTACTTTCAACTATCATAACTTCAATATTAATCAGTTGTTAATGTGGAGAAGATTTGTAGCTTAGAAGGATGATTTTGATGGAGTTTTGTTCTCTGAGCTGGATGGTTTGGTTGTGGAGCTATTATCATTCTTCTGAACGATGTGCTGATGATGTCGTTCAAAAGAACGATCAAAGCTTTACGACCAAGCCATCCAGCCCAGAGAACAAAACCCGATCAAAATAATGTACAGTTAGATGATGACTTATTCGTAAAAATCATCATTTCATTGATTAAATAGTAAAATAAGTCTATATGAGACTTGTCTAACTCTAGAAATTTTTTGAAGGTCATTGTGTGCTTTAATATAAATTAATTCTACTTTCCGTTGTCTTGCAACTGAAATTTATTTAGTCACAGTGATATACATGACCTTCTTCCCCAAGAAATAATTAATATAAACGTTAAATTGTTATAGGCATTTAGTATGTAGCTTTTGATCTAGATTTTAGGATATTTAGTGCTGGTCAGATAGACGTACATGCAATTTCACAGCAATTAGTGCCTCCGGTTAAACTCAAACCCACCTTAGACAATATAGAATTCTCAGCAGTGATATATCTGATCTAAATAATTCATTATTTAAATGCACAAGCCATCAAATATTACAGATACATAACCTTGAAGGAACTGATGGTCTCCATAGGATTCAAGACAGCTCAGGCTACTCTCAATCATCCAATATCAACCATAGAACACATTGATAGCTATTCACTTAGACAGTTGGTCGTTTGGGTCTCGATAGTTAGAATTAGATTAGTACTAAAAGAGCAAATAAACATGAAATCAATCACTTCTCAGTAATCAGTCAATGTTACGATCAATATGAATTCTGTAATACACGTTTCATTTCATTTTTAATCTCTTCAGTAAGATTTATTTGGATCCTCGAGATATCATCAGTTTTCTTGTAAGAGCTTAAATACTATGTTTGTGGAATTTAGTTAGAAAAAGTGTCATAACTTTGTTTCAACATTCTCCATAGAAGATTCAGATATTTTTGAAGCTACATTAATGAAAACATATGACAGCTTGTATTTCATTCAGATTAAAATACACCTCTTTCGGTTGTATGTATATATTTATATTCAAGCTGGGAATCAAGTAAAGTTTCATTTATTTGACGTTAAATAACATCTTTTTGAGTGATTTACAGAAACACCAAAACTGCTTTCACAGAAGTGAGACGCTTTACAAAACTGCAAACCAGTAGTTGAATGTCAATAACCATTCCACATATATACACATACCTATATGATCTAAACATTTGTTAATATCAATAAGCATGGTATTTAATTTAACTTGTCATAGTTTGAATGATCCCGCTGTTTGTATCCTTGACTGAATTATAATCAGCCTTAGTTCGTATACGTTCTTTCTGTACAAGTTGTTTCAATATAGCCATTATGTCACAAGTTTTTAACGGAAAGATGGAATGTGGTTAGTAGTAACATACATGATGCAAGTTTTGTCTTATCTGGTACTGGTTATCTGGATATACTTGTCTTTTAGTAATGATGTTCACATTGAGATTTAAACCAAATACCTTTTAATTCATTTGATATTATTTTACTTGAATCTTCCCACTTGCACAAGCAAGTGGCTATCAGGACTCAGTAGCTAAGTGGATAGCGCGATGGCGTTTGAAGCGAACGGTACTGAGTTCGAGTCCCAGAGTGGACATCAACTCTAAGATGCAGGTACATTCAGCTGACGAGTCCCAAACAGGACGAAACGCGCGTCCTGGATTCCACTGCTAGCCATTATCCATTTTTGCTTACAAATTCCTTTTACTTCAAACAGCTAACGTATTATTTATTGGGCTACTGAGTTTAAGTACCCACTAGCTTGTTCAATGCGTATATATTTGAATTCAGTTTTAGCTTTCTTAATCAATTTATTCAGAACGATCGACACAAAAATCCTAGCATTGTTGTAAAAAGACAATGATTGCTCATACGGTCACCTACAAACATTAAATACATTTCACATTTGCATATACCGTTAATAAATTATTCTCCTATAGGTAACCATCATGTTTAAAATGATTGCTATTGTTTTAAGACTTTAATCGCACATTAAAACTTCATCTTGCCATTTGATTGACTTAAACAATGGTTTATTAAACTACTTATGAATTTGTAAATGACTATGTCAGAAATTAATATCAGTGTTTCCTGATGATTGCTTCTGATCATCTAACATTAAAAGATAGTGAAAAGGATTTTGAATCACTTAGACTAATGATCGCATTATAACCTGTTAGATAAAATTCATACAGAACTTAAAGTCTAGAAAACTATGACAGTGGTCATAAAACAATGATCCATTAATGTACATATTCATAGGCATCTCGGTTATACTTTCTACGTGAATGAAACAGATTCTATGTATAGTTTGTAGATAATTTCTTTATTATATGTAACTCAACTGTAAAACTATAATCCAACAGTTTTCATGTCATATCTATCAATCAACAATAAATCACTCCATATATGGGTAAATAAGAGAACAGATACATGACCATGTGAATCAGTAAGTAAGATCCCTTGATTTTGTTTATTTTCACAAATTGTCACATAATAATCTACATAAATGTTTTATTAATTTAGTCAGATGACAAATGATTTAACATTCATTTATACTCAGACACACTATAGTTATAACTAAAGAAACATTTAAGATTTGCATTGATCTTTAACAGTATTTACTAAAGTTATGATTTGACTATTTTTGATATAAGAAAACTTTAAAACAGTTAGTGTAGTAATAGTTGTGTTCTAATTATCTACCTCTGGATTGATATGCCAAGTATGTGAATCATTCAATTTCTGTATATCTACTGATATACTGATATCATCATTATTAACTGTACTTAATCAATACGAAGATATATATATATATATATATATATATATATATATAATTGAAATCCAGCATCCATCAGTAATAAATTACATTCCGTGTGTAAACTGATGCAGTTGATAAACTCATGTTAAACTGTAACTATTAAGGATTACTAGTAGTTGATTAATCAATCTTGGAAGGGAAAATGTTGTTTATTATTCGGTAGTAACTTATTATCAGTTGTATTTTGTAGTTTACACCACGGACTGATACTAGACTACTGAATAAGCAATTTGTTCTAGAACAGGATTTTACAGAAATCCTCATCAATGATCAAATCAAAGACTTTCAGACTTCATGGAGAGAGCTTAATCTTTGATTGGTTGTCTAAGTAACCTTAGTCCATGACTAATCCTGTGAAATTGGATAATCTGTCGATTTGTTTTCATTTGCACATGTGTAAGTCTGAATAGATTTGAGATGATTACTGATGAAATACTTGATCATTCTGGATAACCTGTATGTATAATTGACTCACAAATCAAATCATAATGAAAGCTTTTCAAGTCTATTAATTTTAGGAAAGTATTTAATACCTAAATATGCAAAATATTTGGAACAACTTGAGCCTGTATTTACTTCTAATATTGCCTATCTCAATTATGCTACATTTTTAAATTAATCTATCCTACTGTTATTTGAGAAAGATTTCTTTGGTATACTGACTTTGATCCATTAGTGATCTGTGAACGGATATTTCTCAATCCATTACTTTCTTACTGATTCGATTATTGTAATACTTGATTGATTGTATTAGTAAATCCAAAGAGAATTTCTATCTTGAACAGTTATAGATTGAGAGGGTGCATGAAACTGTATGCTGAAAGATGACATTCCGAACTTATGAATAAAAGAAATCTACCGAAAGTTCCAAAATGGAACACAAAAACTTTGTGTTTCATAACTAAAAGACTGAGTTTAACAAATCTATGTGCACAAACTGATGGATATTAATACAGTTTTACACTTGATCCATCCCAACAAGTTGTTTTAACTGTTGTTATCTGTTTGTAAAATCTGTACTCAGATTACAGTATCGTAAATATGAGAATTATAGAGAATGATTTCTACGAATTATATAGTGAGATGAGTTACCAGATTTACATCTAGTCCAGATGCAAGATAGAAGGATAGAAGTTATGTACTGGTGGATTCAATAATACACTAAATCTTTAATTTTATAACAACAGAAAAACATGCTAGTAGAAAAATAAAACTCAAGTCGTCAGTGACATGGTAAAGGTGAATATTAACTAAGAAATTCCTAGAGATGGAACGAGGCAAGTTTTCGTAGATTAAAATGAATTTCTGGTCAAAAGTCTTGAAATCATTCTTATGATGAATTTAAATATTTCAAATATGTTTTGGTTGTGTACTGAAGTAGATTCTTTTACAAGGGGTGAAATAACTGTTCAAAATTCTCCGGGTTTTTTGAATAGTTGTTTAACTTAAGCTAGTTTATGATGTGAGTTAATTGTTACAAGCCTTCAATCTCTATAATAAACGTATTTTAATCAATAGCTAACGTTTAGAAGAACTTCATATATTCTGGTGAAAAGCTATAACCTGTCGAGTGCCAAGTAGCACGAAACCCGGGTCCAGTATTTCCTGCAGACTACCTCCAACCACCATCTAAATCTCAATACATAGTGCCCGCAGTGTCGAGTCACCTAGACTGGTGGCCACATTGCGACATGATCGATAGCATTCGATCTGCGCTAATAAGGACTAGACAAGCATGACATTAAGCACCACCCAGTGATCAATCAATTATGAGCTATAACCTGTAGAATATCAAATATGAACATAAGACATTTATCGCTTTGGAAATGAATGATAATGTTGCACTGCCATAAATTCCATGAAGTTGGAATTGGAAAACTAAATGATTCTAACTAAACGATTTCAAGACTATATGAAATCCGTTAGTTCTCATTTTTGAGGATTCCTATAAAGGTACGAAACGCCTATCACGTGTTTCCGGATTTTCTATGATTATCCAACCAAGATTAACTTTATTTGTATCTAATTCTTGTTGGATGGTTAGTTTAGTTAGTCATTTAAATTCGTATTTAGGAGAAATTTATTCCTCTAAGCTTTGGTAACACTTATTTCATTGTCTATATCAATAATCCATATCTTGTAAATTATTATTTGTATATGTCTGTTTCAGTATGTGGGATGTGTTTGAAATTTTATAATTCCGCCATGTCATTGTTTCTGGATCATACTAAACTTGAACATTTACAAGAAAAATTAATTAATATCTGTGAATTTATAGGACCATTTCGTGATCAAGTTAGTTGAGTTAATTAATTAAATTTTCTTTGAATTGTTATTTTAGTAATATTAATTTAAAACTAAATGTTTTACCATATGTAAAAGATAGATCTTTTTTTGATAAGATTTCAAGAGGATTGAAGTGTGTTGTTTGATGGTATCAGAGAATTTCAAAGATTCAAAGTAAATGAAATTTATGATTTGATACTATTGATTTTATATACCTCTTGACATGTTGAAGTTAATTCTTATTCGATCCCTTTTCAGTTGTCTCCCATCTTAGTTTCTTCTTCTTGCAGTAGATCGTGTAAGGCTTGGAACCTGTTGTTGAGAGTTATCTTGAATTCGTTGAGTTTAACAGTACCTCGTAGGAAGGCTGTATTGAACCTTTGTACTACTGTCTTCCCAGCTGTTTAGTGTTTCTTTAGATTCAGTTTCATCTTGACCACAACCAGACGGTGATCTGAAGCTGTCAGCTCCTCTCCTGGTTCTCACATCTTTCATAATCCTACTGAATTTTTTATTGACATAAATATGATCGATCTGGTTCCCCGTTATGTGATCCGGTGAGATGCATATGGCTTTGTGTATGCATTTATGTGGGAATATTGTGCCAGCTAAAACCAATTTGTTGAATGCACCTAAGTTTGCAAATCTCTCGCCACTTTTGTTTCTCTCTCTCTCAGTCCATGTCGTCCCATGGTATCTTCATATCCAGTGTTGTGTGTTTCAACTTTGTCGTTTACGTCTTCCATCAGGATGATCAGGTCTTTACCTGGACATTTCGCTATCATCGATTGAGGCTTTTCATAGAACTGATCTTTATTGTCGTTGTTGCTATCATTGGTGGATGCATAACATTGGATAACACTCTTTGTGATTCCCTCCTTCTTTGTTTTGAATAATGCTTTGATGATTCTGGGTTCATGAGATTCCCATCCTATAAGTGCATTTTTTGCTTGTTTGGGCAGTATCAGAACAACTCCCTGAGTGTGTGGAATATTTTCCTCTTCATGACCGGAGTACAGCAACATCTTCCCCAAATTCATCCTTTTCTGTCCAGCTTGAGTTCGACGTATTCCACTGATTCCGAGCACCGTCAAGTTGTATCTCCTCATTTTGTAGCTATTCGAATAGTCCTCCCGGTCTCCCACATTGTCCGGATATTTCATGTATCTATCTTAATTATTGCTCCGGTTTTTAAAAGAAATATCGGCCTCGTGACTTCCAAAGAGCCTCGGCTTTCATCATGAGGCCTCATAATACTTCTGAGTGAAGATCCTTCAACTCGGAGGAGAGAGTTCAAATGGTTTAATTTGTCTAATTTCGTTAGTGTTTTTTTAGTAGGTTATTTTACGGGATGTGTTGTCGACCCCGCGCCCAACCCTCCTTCTTTTGTGGGCTTGGAAATAGAGGTAGCCCTGGAAGAGCTACAGGCGGAGCTTGGTGTCTCTGAAGCTTTAACAAAATGGATCTAGAAGGTTCACATATTCACACCTGGAAAGCGTATACGTGAAACTAGCAGACTATGTCGCTGACGGGCAATGCAATAACATCATATCAATCCACTTTATGCGAACTCAAAGACATAACAGTGAATGAAGTTATTTCTTGATTTGTTTGATAAATATTAATTAGTGTCTTTGACTTTCAGCCACACTCTGATTGTGTGGTCTAGTGATTCTGTCCAGATACCTAGATCGAAATAGATGGAGAAGTTTTGATTATGGGATTAGTGGCTAAAAGTTAAACGTTTTCACCATCGAGCCACCTCTTTATTAAAAAAAAGCGAATACTATACCATATATAAACTAAGTTGAGCAACTAATACATTGACCAAAGTGGACTTCAGCTGCATATACATGTAAATGAACATAGTCTAGTAAAAGTAGGAAATGTCACTGATTATGTCAGTGTTTTCAGACGACTGAGTACATGAATGTGATTGAGGAAGCATGAGAATTCTAAAGTTGAGGTAGCTCAAGAATATGCAAAACGTTTTTCAGGCACTTCATTTACGTCAAACCAGAGTCACTTGATAAAAAGACAATTTTAATCTATAAATTAATAAAAAACGGTAATGAATCACACAGTAAGAGGTGAATCAAACAAAATAATCAGCTCTAGTATATAGACGGAGGAAGATATAATGCAGGCTATTGTATCATCAGGGGATTGATTGAAAAGTTTAACTTATACTTGCAGTAAGAGTTGATATAATTGTTCATTTAAACCAAGTAGCATTACCTAAATACATTTCATATCTTGGAAATTTTGAATAAGTATTAAGTGATTTCATGCAATATTTACCTACTGTACTAAATTGGGAACTGCCCAGCATATAAAGTGTAATAATTACTGATAGTAGTTATCTAGATTTTTTAAATCCATTCGTCTACGTTACTAACCTGAAGAGTAAGTATTGATTTTAAGTAGAGTAATGAAAGTATTAGCCATTATTTACTTGGCATGATTTGATAGACAATTTATCAAAAACTTTATTCTAGTAACTTTTACCGCACTGGATAATTGAATTACGTGATAATTATTTGAGTTTCGGAGTGAACATCAACTCTGGGATGCAGGTACATCCAGCTGACCAGTCCTAAATGAGAAGAAACGCGCGTCCTGGATACCACTGTTAACCACCATTATATTTACTTATAATGCTTGTGACTTGAGGTAGTATCGATGTAATCCGCACAGGGTTCACAAATTCCAATATGAAACTGATCAAATGCGATCCTAAACATCATTGGGAAGATTCAAATAAACAACGTAAAAATGAACAACTAATATTATTATTACTGATACTGTAGTAGATGCTACTCACAAGATTTCTTGTAAGTAGTATGTTGCGAAACGTGGCGTTGAAGTTATTGGACAGAGTGAAGAGTTTCAGTATAACAAAAGCATAGTGTCATCATTATATATATATATATATATATATATATATATATATATATATATATATATATATATATATATATATATATATATATATATATATTGCGTAAATGTTTTGTAACTGCTCCCAATAAACATATATTCCTTCTGTTCATTTCCTTCTTCTACAGTAGTATCAATATGACTAGGAGTATTTACAGTAATAATAATAACTCCAATGTTTATATGTTTTCTTTATATTTTTGTAGTGTGTAGCCCTAGTCACATTTACAATGTTTAAAGCAATTAATAAATCTATAGCCCAAATCGATCCGTCGGTATCGTGTGAAGTATGCAGTTTTTATTTAGATATTTATCAAAATTTCTTTAAATAATATAAATTTATAAAAGAAAATAAAACCAGTTTTAGTTATAATTACTACTTAAATATTTCAATCCAATAGGAGAGGAATCAGTTTAAATCTTGTTCAATTTTATCACTGACAAATAATGAATAGATTGGTTGATGTTAGACACTATCACCACTGGATGCCGGCTCAGTGGCCCGGTAGGTTAAGCGTTCGCAAGCGAGACCGAAGGCTCTAGGTTCGAATCCCGCTAGTTGGGATCTTGGATGCGCACTGCTGAGGAGTCACGCAAGGGGACGAAACGGCCGTCCAGTGCTTCCAGGTTTTCAGTTGTGATGGTCTAACACCAGTGGGTTCATGATCTCAGTCAAAAAATAATGAATAGATTTGTTGAGATTTAAAAGTGTTTTCATATATTTTCACTGTCATTTAGATCCTTAAAAATATTCAATCAGAAGAAGATGATTAAAACATTTGATGTGACTATAATTTATGAACGACCTTTGAGTGACGTTAAAATGACCTTGATAATGGTCATCTACTAACCAGGACTAAATGATGGCGATAAACCGGTGTGGTGAATTCGAATTATGATTAACAGTTGATGGTTACAGTTAGGATTTTGATCACGAACTAACATCAGCTATAATGCCAAAACTCTATTTAGCCAAGTGGATGAATGAGTTAAGCGCCAAAAATTCAAAACCTGTTATCGTAAATCTGATTGGTTCGTCCATAAATTATAGTCTCGCCAGTAAAATCTTTTAACATTTAATATGACATTCTAAGTGTAATGTTGAGAACAAGAAGTAAACTCTGAAATATGCAGGAACTTTAAGTAAATTGATTATTTCTATTTACTTGAGAGTCATCTGTATTCAATATATCTGTCAGTTATCATTAAAATTGGTGATACTGAATTAATCTAGTGATGGATTTACGGAAATTTTATTTGGAAATATAACGAACTTCTGAGTGAAGAAACTTAAATCCCATTAGAAACTAATTAAGTATCATTCTGTAAATCAAAAGCTGAAACAAACATTAATCATCAATGATATTTATGGTAATTATATATGATAATAAACAGTTCCTTATGATAGCTAATATACTTAGAATAAAAGTAATTGAAAGAAATGTTTCAACATTTCAGGAGATCTTTACTGAAATAACAATAACCCAATGATGTTATACATGTTGTATCTTAATTTCTAAACGTTATTGCTTTGTTTTAAGCATAATCACCAATGAGTATATATTTCTTGTTGAAATATTGATGTGAAAGTTTCATTTCTTTCAAAAGTAACCCTAATCAAAATGATTAAAAAGACTAACAATCACATCATTTCATTCCTCTTTACTAACCTATTACAATAATCAATAATCATGAGCGATATAGACATGAATTGTCTTATTTTTTGTGAATGTAGTAACATATACGATACAATCCCATGATCATCTATTATATTGGAGATGATCATTTTCTAATATAAAAAATGTTTTTCTATGGAAATAAACATTGTAAATGTGTAGTGATCATCATAATCTTCATTTAGGTGTTTGTGAATAACTTAATCCATTTATGTTAGGAACTTCCATTTGATTGTGTAAATGTCTATGACAATCATTATTATAAGTTTCTGTGTTAAATTCAGACTTGTATAGCATCAAACAGTTTTGATTGGATTCGATCAATAATCTTGATACCTACTTTAACATCAATTCGTTTTTTAGTATAGAGTCGATTTATTTGATATTTCACATTATTTTTGTAAATGCTGAGATAATACCCTGAAACCTGAACCTATACAAGTGGTTTTCTACGTATAGCGCCTGCTAAATCCTTGTCGTCAAGGTCTAGTTAACAATTTTATAAAGAGATATTAGTAGACATATATAGTAAGTAATTAATTAGGATCCTGGGACCAATTAATACTATTCCTTTCTATTCGTGTTTAATATATCGGTTTCAGCACTTATGTCATCCCCCTCCACATCATTTGGGTAGAAAAACTAATGGTTACACCTTTACTTGGTTATTTAACTCATCATCATTAAAATTTTATTCCAAAAAATCATTGTGTCTTGTATCTATAAAGTATTAAATTCATTTTTTAAAATATTTTCTATTTCAGGGTTGGTATTTATGTTATAAGAAATAGACAATTTAGTTCAATAATTACATGAAACTGTGGATCTTGAATTAATTGAATACAGTAAAAAGTTAATGATTTATTTATTTATTTGTTTTTAATGATAAATAAATCTTTACTATTATAGATTTTAACTAAACGTTTCATACTATATCAAGTACTCTATAGATATTTAATATAATACTACCCAGAGAATTAATCAATAAGTGAATCTTCTTATTGATTATCTTATGCTGATAATAAAGTTAAATGATTTGATCATGAATGCGCACTGTTGAGGAGTCCCATACTAGGATGAAACGGCCGTCCAGTGCTTCCAGGTTCTCCATAGTGGTCTAGCTTCAATTGATTCATGATTCATGATTCAATTGATTCGTGAAATTTCTAAAATCTCCAAAAAACCGCTTCTGATAATTAAAATTAAATTACAGTCTATTGAATTAATAACTAATCAATAGAAGATAATTATAAACCTAAGAGTATTAAATTCACTTGGTATTGTTTTGCTTGTATCTTCCCATTAAGGTTTAAGACTGAAATTGATCAGTCTGTTATTGGCATATGTGCATACTGTGCGTATGCCTCAATATTGACTTAATTCACAAACGTTTTGTAAGCAATGATGGATAGTGGCTAGCAGTGGAATCCAAGACGCGCGTTTCGTCCTATTTGGGACTCGTCAGCTGGGTGTGCCTACATCTCAGAGTTGATGTTCACTCTGAGGCTCGAACCCAGTACCATTCGCTTCAAACGCCATTGCGTTATCCACTTAGCTACTGAGTCCTGGTAGCCTTCCTTTCCTTAATAGTTTCTCAACGACTTCTATAATTGATATTAGGAATAAAAGAAATAAGAATTGCCCGTTATCAATGATGAATAAGTTAAAATTCAAGAATTTATAATGATGAATTTGAATGAACACAAAACTGAGTTTTCTTAAGTTTCTAGAATATTTCATACATTGATTTGCAAATGTAATATTACTCAGTCAGATATAAAATCTGATTAAGCGCTTCGAGTGAAACTTAAAATAATTAGTCCCTTTTATAAATTTCGATAATGCAATGACAAGACGAAGTTTATCAGAATTATGTGATATATTTGCGCAATACATTTCGAACAATCTGATCATACATATACTTCTTAAGAACATTTATATGTGAAAATTAAAAGGTAGAGTAGAGACGAAGATCATGACTGATACGTTAATGAATAATGGTTATTCTTTGAAGTTCATAAACCGCTGGAAGAATTACAATACGACTAGACCTATGACGCTTCTGGCACCCAAAAAGCGAGTTTATATTACGTTACCATTCGGCGGAGACACAAATAGTCTCATGCTGAAACGGAGACTTAAATTAGCTATCAACTGGACATTTTATGCAGCCCAACTTGTCATTATCGAAAAGACAAGGTTTATGTTTCACCAAAAGCCCAAACAATCAATTTACATGTATATGTATGATCAGATTGTTCGAAATGTATTGCGCAAATATATCACATAATTCTGATAAACTTCGTCTTGTCATTGCATTATCGAAATTTATAAAAGGGACTAATTATTTTAAGTTTCACTCGAAGCGCTTAATCAGATTTTATATCTGACTGAGTAATATTACATTTGCAAATCAATGTATGAAATATTCTAGAAACTTAAGAAAACTCAGTTTTGTGTTCATTCAAATTCATCATTATAAATTCTTGAATTTTAACTTATTCATCATTGATAACGGGCAATTCTTATTTCTTTTATTCTTAATATCAATTATAGAAGTCGTTGAGAAACTATTAAGGAAAGGAAGGCTACCAGGACTCAGTAGCTAAGTGGATAACGCAATGGCGTTTGAAGCGAATGGTACTGGGTTCGAGCCTCAGAGTGAACATCAACTCTGAGATGTAGGCACACCCAGCTGACGAGTCCCAAATAGGACGAAACGCGCGTCTTGGATTCCACTGCTAGCCACTATCCATCATTGCTTACAAAACGTTTGTGAATTAAGTCAATATTGAGGCATACGCACAGTATGCACATATGCCAATAACAGACTGATCAATTTCAGTCTTAAACCTTAATGGGAAGATACAAGCAAAACAATACCAAGTGAATTTAATACTCTTAGGTTTATAATTATCTTCTATTGATTAGTTATTAATTCAATAGACTGTAATTTAATTTTAATTATCAGAAGCGGTTTTTTGGAGATTTTAGAAATTTCACGAATCAATTGAATCATGAATCATGAATCAATTGAAGCTAGACCACTATGGAGAACCTGGAAGCACTGGACGGCCGTTTCATCCTAGTATGGGACTCCTCAACAGTGCGCATTCATGATCACATAATTCTGATAAACTTCGTCTTCTCATTGCATTATCGAAACTTCTAATGACTTTGATCAATAAAGATTTCTGTGAATTTTAAAATGTAGATATGACTACTTAATGAAAAATTTAAGAATGAATATACTTTGAAAGTTAAAAATCAGTGTCATTGATAGAAACTCTTAGGTTATAAGTTTGATCCTTATGTAAGTTTGGTATATAGTAACAAGCCTGAATTAAGCATTTATATAATTTATATTCTTTAATGAATTTGTATCTGAGTTACAGAAAATTTTTATATTGACTCATAGTGATTGAGCAATCTTCATAATAATCATTTATCAATAATGAGTAACTATTAGAGTTATTTAAGGGGGTTTATTTTAGAAGACAACTATTTAAATAATTAGAATAAAATTGCTTGAATATAAGTGATATAGTAAAATTTGATAATAATTTACTATACTACTATCAAAAAGGTTGTTTACATTTCAACAGTATATTTATTTTGTAATCAGGAAAATAATCGATATTTCATATTATAGTCGATTACATTAGGAAATGTTATTCATCCATATTGAAAGTTTTATACTTTTGAACAAAATCCAGCATTCTGTCATAAAGCCAAAAAGAAACAAATAAAGATTTGAATGATTTAAAAGTTCTTATTATAAAAAGGAAATTATAAGGAAACTAAAATGTATAACAACCACCGATGGAAATCAATTATCTTATAACAAAGGTACGAACTGATTGACTCTTCACAATCTGAATAATAAAATCAATAATTGGTTGTACTGCGTTCATTTGATATTACATAACCAAGAGATAATTAAATATATCGAATATTCCACAGGCTTTATTTCGAAATAATTTGATAGATTTTAACTGTTTAAAGTAAAATTTATCACAGAAACTGTTGTAGTGTGTCCTACTTATATAGACATAAGTGGTAGATGATGCTAGTCGTGAACAGAGGGTCTGGAAGCAGAGAGACTAGAGGATCGAACAGTATGGAATGGAAACAGAATGTAGTTTGTATGAAAATGCAAGAACAATGAAGTCTGAGTCATTATGAGACAATTGGTGGACATTTTGGAAATTACTTATTTACTGTTAGGTTGTTAGATTTTATTAACAAGTCCTGTAATTCAGTGTTAAATGCATTCAATTGTTCCCACTAATGTTCTTGTTCACTACACCGTAATAACTTATTCCATTAGGTGAAAACTATTTGTTTAGTGTAACATTCATTGATAGTACAATTTTATGAACTGAACTGTCAGTATAATTCATGTTTATAAATACACATTTCCTTGATAGTATCAGTGTAATAGTTTATGGTTGGGAATGTGACATGGATCAAAGTAGATTTCAAGTATACAGTTACATTTATTCTCAGCATTCCACTAAATCTCGGTTTAATTATATTATTTTTGATTGAGATCACAAATCAGTTAATTTTGAACCACCATTGGAAAACCTTGAAGCACTAAATGGTTGTTTCGTGTTAATATGAGACTCCTCAGAAATGTATCTAAGACCCCGCACACGGAGGAATTGGACTCAAAACATTCGGTCTCGCTTGCAAACGCTGAAGAGTTCCATACTAGAACGAAACAGTCATCCAGTGCTTGCGCGTTTTCAATGGTGGTCAAACATTGATCGCTTCATAATCTCAATCGAAACTCAACAATCTCCACAACTCTATACTGATAAATAATTTATTCTTAGTTTTTCATTTTTGAATGGAACTTCATTTTTTTTAACTTATAGCTCTCATGTTCACATTTCCACTTTAATTGAAGTTATTTTCTCTTGTTTACTGCCACTCCTGTAAATTTTTTATTCTTGCTTTACTGATGTAAGATTTGATCCTTCAAATGGATAAATATTTATGACAGGTTGTACTCTGAAGATGTCTTAAATTTTAACTGACCATCGAACTTCCTACTTGCTTGCATATTTATATGTGTTTGGTTAGATCAGAGATGAAGAGTAAACTCATTCAAAGCCTAGTGAATTAAAAATATCAACCATGATAAGATATTTCTGGGTACAGAATAACTTAGTATATTTACTTCAAGGATCTTTTTGTTACCAATTAATTTTTCAAATCTTTACAATAAATCCCCTAAACGATTTCATTAATTACTCAAAGTTTTATTGATTTAACATTCACTTTTATAATGTACTTTATAATAATCAAGTCACCTACATTATGGGAAATGTGAAAACGATTATTCGATATCTGTAACGATATTGATTTCACTAAAAAAAGGATACTTTATTGATCACTTATAATCAAACAGTAGTTCTTTTATTCTGTAAATAAGTAAAAATTAAACGGAATTATGTATTCCTACCGATTAATGTCAAACATCTTACATTTTACAATAGTGTCCGGGACTACATTGTACCTTAATCTCTAGAAATCTATTAAGACTAACAGACTAGAAAAACATCATATTGACCATTACACAGTGATCAATCAATTATTCTATTTGTAAATGAATAAAATTTTACTACACTTATATTATTACCGCTTGTTCAAGCCAAGACACAGAGAGTAGAAAGACTTTGATCCATAGATTCAAAGCTTATGTTTATATGAGAATTAATACATACCATACTGATATTTAACTTGTAATAATTAAACAATTTAAAAGAGTTGTCTATTTATCTCGCTCTATCAATCCATCTAACTTTAAGGAAACGATATTTAGATCTAATTAAAAAAATCATATACACTCTGGTTATATTACCTGACAAAAGCGTTGTATAAGAAATTGTTTATTGAAGCTTAATGTTACTGCCAAGAACAAATCATGTAGGAATGGACCACACTAAAAATAAAAGTAAAATTATAGTAAAGATTAGGGTGTTATAAAACAAAGACAAAATGTAAATTAAATATAGAAGAGAGATGTGAAATTTGAAACAATTAGTCCCTTTGATAAATTTGGATAGGGTATAATAAGAAGGTGAAGATTATAAGAGCTATATAATAAGGAGCCTATTTAACAGGACTAATCGTATTTGCTTAAAAGACGCTATTAATGATGACGTTAGGTTGCTGAATAAAACAATAATGTAAAATGGTTGTCCTCTAAAACTCATAAATCGATGGAAAGGTCATGATATAGTGAGACCCACTATAGTCTTGACACAAAAACGCCTGTCTACATCACCTTGCCGTTTAGAGTTCATTCAAACAGTCTTTTATTGAAACAAAAGCTTAAGCAGTTATTGACGAAACGTATTACCCAGTAAAAATTATTCTCAAGGAAGAAACAAAGTCGATGATTCACCGAAAGCTTAAAAAACATAAAAATGATTGCGTCACATTCCACTATGAGTGTGGCCAAACATACATCGTGATCTCCAAATTCAGATGTGTAAACATGTACCTAAATGGTTACAGAAACAAATAAAATCCAATGACCCAATAAGAGTAAATGATAAACATCCATCATCGTCTATTGTCAAATACATCGTTGAAATAGGTCACAAGATTGATTTTAACACGGCTTTTGTAGTGTCGTACAAGTGATAAAGAATATATGCTAAGGTTTATTGAAGCCTCAGTCATACGAAAATTATTATAAACTACTGTATAAAATAATTATAAACAAGTATATTTGGTTTTAATAAATGGTTCTTTTCACTGGATTGTCTTAATTTTGCTTAATTAATTCATTATTTGCAACTATACTACAGTAAAATCCAAACTTTTGATTATATAATATCTGAAACATTTTAAATGGGTATATCTTTATCTTCATTTTACTAAGAATCGAATACAGGGATATTCTCCTGAACTAGAAAACAGTAACTAAGATGTATAAACTGCAGTGAAATTTGAATCGGTTTAGTGACTCAAACTATGACATTTGAGGTTACTGTTTGTCGGTTTGAGTTTCAGTATATGTGATATCAGTACCTGCTAGCCATTGTCAAATGTACATAAAATTTAATCCAAGGTGTTGAATATTTTCCACAATTCCATGCTTCCATCGTCCTAAGTTAGACGTTCGTTGGTGATTGATTTAGCAATAAGCATAAATAGCAAACTGCATAGATCTATTGCATAAAGAAATTGATTTAACTAAGACCATTTTGGTTCACGTTCTTCATAGTAGCAGCATCTATACAGGAACTGTCAGACCACCGTCTACTTCATGTTTGGGATTACCTTCTTAGTCCCAATCTTTTTGAATGCCTTTGTTTTCTTTGAAATGGATGTCTACATAGCTACTGGATTTGTGGATACCAGCTTAATGGTTTGAACGTTTAGATTTTTTCTACAAGAATTGAAAATTCTTTATTCAGTCACAAGAGATGTCGTGTGTGCATGCTGCTCAGTAGTCCTTTATTAAGACAAATAAGATGTCCAAAGCTCTCTGTTTTTCCATTGTTGTCTAATTACAGTTAGTCCGTAATATAAACAATGGAATGTACTAGATATTGAATGTTTGCAAAAGTTCTCTAATAATTTATGGACTCTTGTTTTATGAGTGATAATAAATTCCCGCCTGCAACCAACCTGAAACAAGATGGTCATGCTACATTGCGGATTTGTTAGCGTTAAACACCAACACCGTTCGATACCGGCTGAATGGTCTACAGGTTAAGCGTTTGCACGCAAGAATAAAGATGCTGTGTTCAAATCCTGCGTACGGGATTGTGGATGCGCACCGTTTATGAGTTCCAAACTGCGACGAAACAGCCGTCTAGTCCTTTCAGGTTTTCAATGGTGATCTAACATTGATCGGTTCATGATTCCAACGGAATCGAAATAACATACTGTCTCTTGTGTTTGAGCCCACATCATATATTAGTATTACTAATTTTATAGGCAATCAATTCTAATTGAATTTATTTAACTATGAAACAAAGGAATAAAAAAAACATTGTATCATTTAATCTGATTCCGAAATGAATATCTGATAAGTAGTATGGTGTGTGCTACTTATATTGACATGAGTAGTATATGGTGTTAGTCGTAAACAGAAAGTCTGGAAGCAGAGAGACAAGAGGATCGAATAGTAAAGAATGGAAACATGATGCAATTTATATGAAAATGCTAGAACAATGAAGTCTGAGTCATTTTGAGACAACTGATGAACATTTTGCAAATTAAGCATAGTTAGGTTTTATTAACAAGTCATGTAATTTTGTGTTAAATACATTGGATTGTTCCTACTGGTATTCTTGTTCACTACGTTTGGTGTCGCTGCCAACCAGGAGGGGAGGGGTGCTGTTCTGCGAACGCCGTTGCGGGCCTGTAGCCGAGGTGCTAGATGGGACAGTCTGGTGTGAAGAGGTGGAGCCAAGTGGAGTGTTCTGGTAGGGTGGCGTTGGCTGTAGAGGGTGTTGTCGACGGAGAGGAGCGGTGGGATGTGCGTCTGCTGGACGGATACCAGATGTAGATAGCTCAGCCGGTCGTTAGTTGTTAATAAACAAAATCCAATAACTAAAAGAGTAATTATTTCTAGTAGTAACCTCTTCTATGAGGTTTTTCTAGAATTTGTTACAGTTAAATTTCAACGAACTCATCATAACCTAGGATAAAATGACTTCCAATTATTCAATTAATAAAAAGAAACCCAATAATCATACATAAAGTAATTATTTAAATGTATGAACTGTAATAAATGAATAAATAAAGGAACTAGGCAAAACAATAAAATGTGTACACTTCACTAAATAAATATTTAAATAAATTTAATCAATAATTTATAATCAATATACGAAAATCAATAAATGAAAACATTATTAAATCAATAAACAAAACAAATATAAATATTGACAAGTATAAACTTACAATGAGTGATTGATTGGATTGTGTATTACACATATTTAATGTATTATTATATAACTCGGATACAAAAGTTTCCGACAATAATATTGATTTGATTGAAAGTCCAGATTTGAGGCAATATTCACAAACTAAATACCGTACAGAAAAAAAGATTTTTGATTTGTATGCAAAAAAAGTTGATAATTAGAACCACATTTAATCCAATTCACTTGGTGTTGTATTACTTGTATCTTCAGTAGTCAAGTGGATAACGCGATGGTATTTGAAGCGAATGGTACTGGGTTCGAGTCCCGGAGTTAATATGAACTCTGGGATGCAGGTACGCCCATCTGACGTGTCTCAGATAGGACGTCCTGTATTCCACTGCTAGCCAATATCCGTCTTGGCTTACATTTAAACAACTTTTATTATCGTATATGAATTTTGAATGGATACCTTGAGATTGTTTAGAAACTCTTTAATATGTCTTATCATCATTTTTTTATTAGTTTATATAAGATTGAGCTAATCAAGTATTCAGAGGTTCAGTAAAACTTGTGTATATGATCATTATAGAAGGGTGACAGCATTGTACAGTGACAAATTTAAAGGAACTGCAACAAATTTCCAACTAGTTTCTAGCCAATCAGCAAAAAGCGTTTATAAGTGAATGGTTTTTGGAAAAGGATATAACCACATTACGAAGTATAAACAGATTTTATATAATTACTGAATACTTTAATAACTTCTACAGGCTAGCCAGAGTATAAATCCAAAGAATAAAGACATAGAAACTTGTTCTTATAAATAGAGATGGTCTGTTTCATTAAACCCTTCAGAAGATACAAATTGATTTTTAATAGTCATCAAGCTGTTTCCAGTAAGGGTTAGGTATTTAGGTTTAGAATTTCCATCACAAACTGATAAAGTAAAAATTATCTAAATTTCACTCAAAAATATGAATGGTGATATCAGATTAGTTCGTCTATAAAATATAATGCCACTAGGGTTACGCTTATTTCAGAATTATGGATTCGTGCTTAGGTTTTAGGAATAATGTCGACTTCCAAATAAGAACTTTCGTCTAAATTCGATCGAATAGTTTCACAATATTTGGGCGCCGAGTTAGTGTCAAACATTAAAGCGAAAGAATGTATTTGTTAAATCTCAGAAAATGAATTCGAAGTAAATTCAACGTTTCGTCTGGCAATCTCGTCCACGTTTTCTCATGGAAACAATAATCAAACATCAAATTCATCGAATATAAATAAGTACATGATTCTCCGATTTACTGTATACTGAATAAGTCATCTAATCAACGTTAACAATGCTTAAAGTATATCTATACATTAATGTGTAAGAGACATGTGGTGTGAAATGAAAAGTGTTAAGATAACAGATTGCGTGTATACGTCAGTGAGAAGAAGAAATTTCATTCACTATACATTTGTCTGGTGTCGGTGAATTTTAGGAAAATATATTATTATTATTATTATTATTATTATTATTATTATTATTATTATTATTATTATTATTATTATTATTATTATTATTATTATCAATGACTTTATTCAATATTATATTTTGGTACACTTTTCCTTTCACACCATATGTCTCTTACTTTAAGCATTGTTAACGTTGATTAGATGACTTATTCAGTATACAGTAAATCGGAGAATCATGTACTTATTTATATTCGATGAATTTGATGTTTGATTATTATTTCCATGGGAAAACTTGAACCAGATTGCTAATCGAAACGTTGAATTTACTTCGAATTCATTTGCTGAGATTTTACAGATACATTCCTCTTCTTTAACGTCGACTTCCGTTTCATAAACAATCTAAAATAACATATTAAAAAGTTCGATAAGTTCGACATTATCAGAGGCGCAGCTTCGTGGATTGGTTGAAGTTAGACATTAACACCGTTGTGTGCCGGCTCAGTGGTCTAGTGGTTAAGTGCTCGCGCGCGGAGTCAGTAGGTCCTGGGTTCGAACCCCGCGTGATGCGGGATCGTGGATGCGCATTGCTGAGGAGTCCCATACAAGGGCAAAACGGCCGTCCAGTTCTTCCATGCTTTCCATGGTGGTCTAGCTTCAGTCGACTCATGACTTCAACCTGTGAAATTATCATTATTACTATATGGTTAAAAAAGTAATGTTTCCCTACCAGTTTAAATGTTTTGCGCAGTATATAAATGCATTTTTACTAATTGCCATCTATGATACTTGAATTTCGTACAGAAATCTAAAAGCCACGTTCTCTATTGTACTTGTATTGTCTCCAAAGTATACAATTACCGTGTACAGATTCCAATAGAGATCGACTAAATGAAGTCTTGACGTACGTTTATACACGTTTAAACGTTGGTGCTATCTAGACTCTGTAGCTTAGTAAAGAACAAGGCGTTTGAAACAATAAGTACTGGTTTCGAGTCACAGTTTGAACATTAACAATGAAATCTGAATGCAACCAGCCGATGAGAAAAAAACTGAAACAAATTATGTATTTTAAATTTTACTGCTAGCCATAAAAGAGATGATAGTAAGCAAGTTTACTCCAGTCTTATGATAAAGCATGATTTCTTGCTTTAATCATCATGACACGATATTTTATAGCATCAAATCACAAGCCTCATAAATATAAACAGAAATTACGGTAAATTTATAGGCTGCCTAAATGTTACACAAAATATTATAAACTCACCAGGTATCTCAGGTGGGTAATAACAAAAATCGAATGTCTGAAAAACAATCAATCGTTTAATATTTAGTTACTCAATGAATTTATTAATGTTGTTTTGTTGAGATCACTAATCACTATGAGATATACAACTACTGGAAATTTGGAAGCACTGGACAGATGTTTCGTTCTAGTATGGAAGCCCTTACCATTGAGGATTCACAACCACAGAAGATATAGAACCCATAGCCTTTTGTCTCGCTCATAAGCGCCAAATCTTCAGGGCACCGAGCTGGGATTCAATGATCTATAAGTTTAACTTCAGTCAGTCATTAGTATCGCACAACCATCATCCATTTTCTTTGGTGAGTATCTTCGTCACAATCAACACAGTTAAACTCCACTGTTAATGGGTTATCATTAAGACCCAGGAAATTTCTTTTCGAAGCTGGTCACTGATGAGCATATGATGATGATTAGTATGGGGTTTTGGCCTAACGTAGTAGATCCTTGGTTGAATCCTTAGGGGCGGGGTAGTAGATGAGCACTGATGAGGAGCCTCATACGAGGATAAGAAGCTGTCAAATGCTTTTTGATGTTCAATAATTATCTAACTTAGATCGGTTCATGATTTCAATAATTCTCAGCAATTTCCATGACCCTCGTATTGATAAATTAATAATAACACATTTTAAAGTTAAAACTATAAAAAACTAACTGAGTTAAGTTATTAATGCCAGGTTAAAGTTAGACAACTAATGCCAGTAGATAAAATGCACGTATTTCATGACTTGTGAATAACTTTATGTTTCGATTAAGACCTGATTACAACATCAGAGAGATTTATACTGCCTCTTTCAGTAAATTACCGTGATCATCTCTAGCATTAATTTGCTTGAAAGAAAGCAAACTTAGTCAAGTTATGTAACTTAATGAAAATGATAATTGTGAAATGTGAACACATTAAGTTTCGGTGAAATTCCGTTTATTGTTCAAGCTAGTGAGGTAAACATCAGTATGGCATTAACAGATACTTAATTCATTTCACTTAACAAAATTCAAATAAATGAAAAGTAAACAGAAGGAGTCTAACGATTTTCAATGTTTACTTTTAACTAAACTGATATTGAATGTACGATACATATCTGTCCAATTAACTGAATATTAGAATGCATCCAGTCATCAAGCTAGTCACTTTAATGATTTCACTACATTGAATCCAAGATAATATTACTGGCTTATTTATGCCTTTTAGGTGTATCAGATAGCTTGTATAATCTTTATTCATTTTATACTAGGTAAAGTTCGATATCACGGAATCTTAAGGTATGATCAATTATTGAAAGTTCAAAATTTCTAAATTTACACTACTTTATTGATTATTTATGATCAATTTAGTAACAGTATACGATGAGGATCAACAAAATAAGAATAATTTTGGTTGATTTTCAAGCTATTCAATAGCATATTTTGACAGACAGTCTTTCATTATGAACTGATGTCAGCTGACGAATTATTGAAAATGAGAGTTCTTTATAATTATCTTATTTGGAGTTGAATCAGTTCAAACGTAGACACACTTAAGTTCATATCCTATGAAGCTGGGGATAACTAGGTTAGAGTTTGACTCGAAAGATGATCTGTACAAGTTGCCGCACTATATCAACAAAATAAAATTAAACCAACATCTAGCATATCATAGAATCATCAAAAATCTCGTATTGTGGTAACGGCTTTACTGATTCGATAATGAAGTACAAATAAGCGTAACTATGCGGTATAGTAATCATTTAATGGGAACATTGAACTTTTATGCTCATTAAAAACACAATTAACTCCAAATTTCCTACTTGTAAATCAGAACTTTTGTTAGCCGACTACTGTGATTTCTGTCTAGGATTCTCATATGAGGGTAGATCTGTCTTCGTAAATCATTTTACTCCTTATAATTTTGTAACATAACCTTCAAGTATTTCGGTACCGTGTGAAGCTGAATAAAATTATTTTTAGTCTTCTTTAAATGGGAGTCATAATGACATTTCTTATCAATTCATTTTGTACTTAGTACTTAATCATTATATTTCTGATTTCTACTCTCAGAACTTGCTCTTGTAAATTGTTAATTATCGTCAATTTCTTTCCATTACTATATAGAGGTAAATTTCATTGCTCTTGGTCTATCCTCTTACACAGTGTTTGATTATAATGCTATCGCAAAATAAACAAACTTTTTTCCCAACAAGTTATCTGCCAGCTCTACATAAACTCATTCATAAACTGATTATTAAAATACTCAGTCACATATCTATATCATTGTTCTTACTCTCTTTAAAATAGTAAGTGGAATTATGTGTATGATATATCTATACAAATAACTTGTTGTCGTTTACCCAAAGATAATGAATGACGTTGAAGGAAAACCCGAATCGAGGTTGAACCTAAAATAATCAATCTGACAGTTGTTATATAGACAACTAAGTGAATCGCTCATCGATTGAATGAGTCTTTATGGGGTCACTATTCACGTTTTACATACATTTCTGGTTTATTTCAATCAGACAGCAATCAGATGAGTAGACTATATAACTAATTATTCAAAATAACCGTGTTTTCGGTTTTTATAAAGAATATGACTAGGGTTGAAAGATGATACATTGTGTAGTTTAGTCGTGCAGCTTGTAAAGTTAATTTCATGTTCCATAATCTGAAACTCACTATAGAAGATAATATGACAACTTAAATTTTATTTCAGTAATCATTTCGTCAACTTCATACAGACAGGAAATCTTCCAAATACAGTCTAATAAGTAAAAAATAATAATAAAAGTAATGATATTCAAGTGAAAGGAATCCTGAATCGACTTACAGCACACAAATCATATGGTATCACTTTCTGGATTGTATAAAAGATATTTGACAAAAGTCCATTCGCAAACATTCCACACTGAAAAAAGAAACATCCAAATGAAAAAAAGAATACTAAGACTTCCCACTTGCTTGAACTCAATATTGCCCAGGACAGAGTTCAATGGAGAATCCTGGTGAGCAGCCTATACTCCTCCACGAGGGGTAACAGGCATAAATAAGTTGAACTCAATATTAGAATAGAAGTTCTAGTTGATAAGCAGTGTCAATATAATTCAGCTCATGCAATATCATCCAAACGTTTCATCGTAGACTATAACCCATCATGAGTGTGTGCCTATTATATTTTTTAATCGGTCAACCTAAAATATCTTGACTTGATTTATTCAGGAACAACTATCTCATGTTAGAATAATTTGTTTTCATATTATTGGCACAGAGAACATTCCCTGAAATGGTCGTATCACGTGCTACAGTAAAGAATAAATTGTGATATGAGGAAAGTTGATGAGAGTTACAAATTTCAGTCAGTAATCTATGACATTGTATTGTAAACTCAAAGGCTATTGGATACTATACGTAATAGGATTAACTATAAATAAGAAAGGATGGGTACTTCAACTGATGACGAATTATCATCCAGCAGTTATTTGTTTACAAAAAAAAACATATTTTTACTCTAAATTACATATTCACTTGAAGTGTGGTAAACAATGATTCTTTACAAGTTGACTTATACATGCTGATGATGAGATGTTCGAACAAATGATCAGAAAACCCAAGATTCCCAGCAACCTGTCTCAAGTAAAAGCTGATTGAATTCAAAAATACAGTTGTTCATGTAGGTCACAAATAGACTGGATATTCAAAGTTTTTGATACAATGATTAAACGCAAAGTTTATTTTGAATGACTGACTGTAAAGAAAGTTATCTGTTATATTTCACTGTTAATACCCTTTATTGCATTTGTTAAAATCACGCATCTTAGTCGACTAAATCAAAGTTACGAACATACATTCTAGTTTATTAATCATTACCAACTTCTGTAGTTTGATATGAGTAAGCTAAATAGTCAGGTCAATGAAATAGAGAAAACTTGCCATCGACTTTAAAAACACAACTCTTTATTTATGCCAACAAATAGTCAAGAAATCGACTCTTCAAAAACAAGAATGTAATATATAACCAAAAATCTGGTTTAGATTAGAAGATGATATCAAGTAATCTAGGCACCAATGATCAGTGAATAATGGCTTGAAAATGATCACAATTGATTCAGAAATGTAGTAAATAAGGTATATTCGGTAACTTGATAAATTGTATAATCTTCCTTAACAGTAAATTACTCACTGTTAAATAAACCCAATGATAAAGTCATTACTTGAAGGAGTTAATTAGTTTAATTTCCTTGGTTTTTCAAGTACGATTAATTGATATATGTTGAGAAGAACAAGATATAAGTTTTAGAGCTTTCTGTTTACCACCTCCAAATATCTCATATCCAATAAAGAGCACTTAGGATATTTCTGACATTGAAGAGTCAACAGATATAATGTATAATCTATCAAGTCTTAGGGCATATAAGTAGGTAAAAGTTTGTTAGTAGAGCTAATTCTGATATCAGAAGTTATTCGGTAGCAATGAAAATAATCCAAGACAAATAGAATAATCCTTCAATGATATTATGCAATTCATTCTTGTTTATTTTGAAATCATATTACAAATTGATAGTGACTAAACAGATATTGAAAACTAAGGTATATCGAAGAATACTTTCATTGTTGTCATATTTTAAGTAGTATATATTCACGATGTTAAATAAGATCAAATCCTATACATTAGACTCCACGTAATAATGTACTATACTTTCAGATGACATTTCATGTACCGACACCTAGTCCATTACCACTGATAATTTGAAATATTGTGGGTTTTTTTTATCTCTCACACTGGTACCATATTTTATAGTAATGGCTATTGGTCCCATAAGTTTACGTAAACAATATGATCGCTGTTGAATGACTGTTGTTTGCCAAGAAATTAATTAAAATCCATGAAACTGTTAAGCATTGAGACTTTTCAGTACCAGAATTTTTTGGTCTGACAAGAAAGTATGATGCTATTGATTCGAAAAATGACAGTTTACAATTTTTAAAACTTCAGTTATTTTGTGAGAGTACGTTAATATCTAAAATTGTTAACGTTTACTTCCTGTTACAAAGTTTAACATTAGTTAAACAATCGAAGTTTATGCATAAAATTCTTAGTTATGTAATGGTGGAGAAGATTTGTAGCTCAGGTGAATGGTTTTGATAGAGTTTTGTTCTCTGAACTGGATGGTTTGATCGTCTAGCTCACAGAACAAGACTTGTGGTGTCGGTTATTATGTTAAGCCCATATACCTTATTCTCGCTTACAGACAGCCCAATCTATTCACTCTACTTGAGTCACATTTTGGCCTTGTTAATTATCCGCTTATCAATCTTCACTGTTTTTATATGAGCCATATGTGTTTGCACACTTCTTATCCTATTACTCATCACATGTCTGTAATCTACCTTTGTGTTACTATAAATATTGATTGACGCTTGGTTAAATGGGAGTTGACTTACCTGTCATCTCCACTGCGTGTCGTTTCTCCTCTCTATTCCATTCACTTAATATACAAAATATATGTATTCAAAAGTCCATTCTCGTTATTTGACTTAGCTAAATCTGTTATTGACTAACGCGATTAAAGTCGATGATTATATACGAGGATAGGCGACATATATATTTCAACAACAATCATCAACACGATCACCTTGGAGTCAGATCTCGGGCCACCAAAATGGAGAGCCCTTTCGACAACATCGTTCGATTTAAATGAAGACAAAATTTTAAGGGCCCGACAAACTATCAAAATACTTCGTTGTTAATTTTTCTGCGTTTGACTTATAAAACCACTTAGTGTATCATAGTTATTGAAAGACACATTTATATGCATGATTAAGTTGATGTTAAAAGAAGTTAATAATTACTTACTGAGGTATTAAATAGACCAGTTCCCATGCAAACATTTTTAATTATACCATTGATTGATACCTTTGTTGATGAACTTAAAATTATATTTTTGGCTTGTTTAACACCGGATACGCATGCCATACACTCTAATTGCGAGAGAGAAAAAAAGCACAATATACACAAAATATGATATAATTTATATTATATTACTGTATATAAACTATCTGGCTTCCATTAGTAGTTGATTCTTTATATTAAAACAATTGAAGTTCGTAAGGGATGGACAAAGTAGTAGATCTAATAGTACAGTACCTTTCTGTTATAAAATGTTTAAATGATGGAAAAATTTTGATATGGAGAGAAATAACTTCATTCATTGGAGTACAAATGACATACAAAATTCACGTTTCTCAATCGTGTGTGACACTTATTTACACGTTAAGTAACATTATTGACGCTTAATCAGTAAATATGTAGTCACACAGTAAGTTATAATCAAAAAGTGGTTTTGGGGAGATTGTGGTGGTTAAGTAGTTGAATTCATGAATCGATTGATGTTAGACCCCTATGGAAAACCTGGATGCACTGGACGGCCGTTTCGTCCTAGTATGAGACTCCTCAGCATTGCTCATCCACGATCCCGCTAGCGGGATTCGAAACCAAGACCTTCTGTCAGTTCAATTTATACAAATCTCGCTGTTAATTCGACTGAAAATAAACTATACATTATGTAGTGTATTCATAAATCATTTATTGATTTATTTTGGGAGTTAAATAAATCTTTATCACCAGTCTATGCTTTTACACTCTGAACCTCTACTGTTGTATTCAACTTGACGACGACATTTAGTCTGGGGTTATCGTAATCGTCTGAGAAACCCAATCGATAGTTCAGTTATCGCACTTATCATTACTTTTATCACTAATACACATAATGTTATCAATAAAATTCCCTGAAGTCAACGAACATGTCTATTCCTTGTATGTTTTGTTGAATAAGATACGTAAAGTATTTGTAAATAGTCTATTCGACGAAGCCAATCACGAATGAACTAACAGATATATAAATAATGAGTATTCTTCTCAACATATTTTTTATCAGATCACAAATTCAACTGACACACAAATATCATTACGAAACTATTAAAGAACACAATGCTAATCATTTGAACCAGTCAAGAGTTTGAGGATGTTTACATAATGCAAAATATTTATTTACTAAATCGTTTTTATATCATTTTAGATTTCTTTATTAGACTGGTTGTTGTGACTATATGAAATATGCTATGTATCACTAAATCTTCATTGAAACTTCATTAAAATCTATCTTGTAAATTACTTTAAATGTTAAATTACAGTATTTGAAAGAAATATATTTTGTTACTTATATACATCATGGTTTCTCCCAATCGATTCATTAATATATAACATTTCATTTGAGAATATTAGATTCGATGTGTTGAAAATTCCTTGAAGTGATTCTGTCTTATTTAATTGACAATACAAATGAAACAGTTCCTAAATTAGTATTTCAAAGTTGATACAAATATACACACAAATCATTCCGTATCAATATATATTTTGCAAGTTAATTGAAACTAGATCATCATGGAAAACCTGGAAGCACTGGACGGTTGTCTCATCCCAGCATAGGACTCCTCAGCAGTGCGTATCCAAGACCCCACGCCCCGTGAAACTCGAACCCAGGACCTATCAGTCCCGCGCCAGATGCTTAACCAACCAGACCACTGGGCCGGCATCCAACGGTGTTAATGTCTAACCCCAACCAATCCATGAAGTTCGTGGGTTGCAGGATCGTGGATGCGCACTGCCGAGGAGTTCCATACTAGGACGAAACGGACGTCCAGTGCTTCTAGGTTTTCATGGTGATCTAGCTTCGATTGACTCATAATTTCAAGCAGTAAAATTTCTAAAATCTCCAAAAAACCGCTTCTGATATATTTTGTAGTTTAATGAAGACAAGTACACTTACGGTAAAGATTTGGTTGACTTCGTCTTCTAAGATCCTGCTTTTTTTAAAGAAATAAATTATAAAGGATAAATTGAACAGAAAGATAAAATGTCAGAAAATAATTTTGATCTATTTAACACTCGCACGTATTCAACCGTGTATAAATGATCTGTTCAGTATATATAAAAAAAAATCGGAACTTATCTGCAATTCTGTCAAGTTTTGATCATTCTAGTCCCTAACAAAACCGTTCGAGTATGAAGCTTCCACATTGTTCACAAATAACCAGTTACTTAAGCTTAGTCTTATCAACCTAATATGGTATATCAAAACTAAATGGATTTTTGATTAAAATATGAACGTAGAACACTGAATGTTTTAGTCTAAGCACATCATTCAATAAATACATTGATCTAAATTTGTAATGACCTGGATTATCCCATTTTTAATATTTTGACTGAGATTTGATCAGTCTTGATTGACATATGTATATCCTATGAGGATTGTCTTGCTGTAGCCGCAGGTTAGTATTAATTGTTACAAGTAGTAATAAAATGTTTCTTTAATTTAAGTTATAAAGTCAATTTCAATCCAGTATAGTTATCTACATAAAACAGATAGAATATAACTAGCAGTGGAATCCATGACCCACCCTTCATTCTATTTAGGTCTCGTCATCTGGATATACTAGCATCATAAAGTTGATGCCCAGTCCGTTGCAAGAGTGAATGACTACTTGGACTCAATAGTTAACTGGATGGCAGTTGAAGCAAAAAGATAGTGAAATGAGTCCCCGGAGAGGATACGAACTCTAGGATTCAGGTAAATCCATCTGACGAGTCCCGAATAGGGCGAAGTGTGTGTCATGGATTTCATTGCTAATTACATCTCGTCTATTTCATATAGATAACTATATTGACTTGAAATCGACTTTTTAACTTAAATTACCGAAACATTTTATCACTACTTGTAACAACAATTAATACTTTCTTGTTGCTGATCATAATGATTGTATTAAATTAGTATGCATTTAGCATATGCACATCATAAGAGGATACTTTTGACTTTGCCATTTATATACAATTTTTTATTAAATTTGGACTCAGTAACACAGTAAACAACGGGTTGACTCTTAAACTTATAGGCAATTCGGTCCAGTACCAGTGTAAACATGTACAGTGAAATGTATGTAGGTCTTTATCCCTTTAAATTATACACACTTGAATGATATCTTATATTTTGGTTCTCTTCAATCGTTTCATACTCGTAATATAGATTTGTGTGACTGTAGGAAGTTGCCAGAAACTATGTGATTTGATTTTCCTGTATATTAATGAGAATTAGTTTGGTATTTTTAGTGTTCAACCCAAAGTTGCAACTCACCCCTCCATACAATACCCTCATGAATATTTAAAATAATCCATATTAAGTCATATGTAATAATAAAATTATATCAACCAATGTTATCAGATGGAAATAGCATTACAAAATCACAATTGATCCATAAATGATCTAATGAATTATCAGGAGTTTCGTGGAGATTTTAGTAATTTTAGGGTTGAATTCATGAGGCAGTTGAAGCTAGACCATCATGGAAAACCTGGAAACACTGAACGGCCGTTTCGTCCTATTATGGGACTGTTCAACAATGCGCATCCATGATCCCACCTTATGCGATTTGAACCCAGAAACTATCAGTCTCAAGCGCGAACGCATAACCAATAGACCACTGAGCCAGCATTTAATGGTGTTAATACTTATCTTCAATTAATCCACGAAAGTGAGCGACACATCCACTTTTGTCTCCAATGGATTACCGTCTCACAACAGACCCGGTTGAACTACACTGATAACTGCTTCTCATAAGAACCCTAGGAAATACCTCTAGAAGTTTGTAATCTTCCAGTCTACTTCATATGAAAAACAGAGATTATAAATATTTCAACTTCATTAACTATTCAATCAGACAATTTTCATTGATTTTACTGACCTTTTGAACTTGTAACTGTTGTGTAGAATCTTCCATTACATTATTCATACAGAATACTGAAATTTCAAAAGAATACAATGTAAGATTAATAAGAAATTTCATGAATTCACTACTTACCTAATGAAATAAGTAAACACAATATACATAATGATTTCATAGTTAGTCTTTAACTATTATCATTCTACTATAATGAATATTTATACATAAATTGATCAAGAATTGTTTTTCTCTATCATTATTCCTTTATCTTTATCAACGGAATTATTTACGTGATTGATCTTTGTTCATTTCAATAACAAAATTTTATTGTCACTTCGTTTCAGTTTCAATATGAATATGAATGTTAAAAAACAAACCGTGGGTAAAGTCCTGAAAAAATTAATAAGGAGAAGGCAATAAATATCTATGATATTTCAATAATGTACAATTGTGTTTGAAAAAAATCAATCTTTTGTTTAGAGTGTAAGTTTATATATATCACATAGAAACTCTGGTTTCTCCTCATTTGCGGATAAACCTTTCACCTTTTTACTAAAGATTTCCGTGAGGAGGCACAATATAATGAGTATAATCTCATTTTTTTCAACTCCTTCGCATGGAGTATGCTTGTGCTGAAAATTCTGTATTGTACCAAAATATAATATTGAATAAAGTCATTGATAATAATAATAATAATAATAATAATAATAATAATAATAATAATAATAATAATATATTTTCCTAAAATTCACCGACACCAGACAAATGCGTAGTGAATGAAATTTCTTCTCACTGACGTATACACACAATCTGTTATCTTAACACTTTTCATTTCACACCACATGTCTCTTACACACTAATGTATAGGCCTACTTTAAGCATTGTTAACGTTGATTAGATGACTTATTCAGTATACAGTAAATCGGAGAATCATGTACTTAATTATATTCGATGAATTTGATGTTTGATTATTGTTTCCATGAGAAAACGTGGACGAGATTGCTAGACGAAACGTTGAATTGACTTCGAATTCATTTTCTGAGATTTAACAATTACATTCTTTCTCTTTAATGTTTGACATTAACTCGCCGCCCAAATATTGTGAAACTATTCTATCGAATTTAGACGAAAGTTTCTTCTATATTAGATTTGACAAGTTCAAACAAATCGAGTAATGAACAGTTTATCTAAACTTATAAAATTTCAATATATTTATGATGTTCCAGTGAGCATAAAATGTAGTTTTTGGCGTTTTTGTAACTTACAGCTTAAGTTGATTCTTTAAATGTTGAATAGTCAAATTCAAATGATGATAGGTTTGAATGATTAATTAAGAGTTTTATCTGACATAGTAGACTTGTCATCAATATGTCTTTTGTGATCATTTATAACGTTAACAAATACTGCCAATATTTACTATTTTCACTATACCCAGTTAACTCACGATTGAATTGAGATGGAGATTTATGATAACCAACCTTTATTTTGCTGCAAAATTCTGTTGGATTTAAACATTTCGTTCATATAGTTGTACATACTTATAAGTAGTATAACTCTCAAAACATTATTCGTCTTCTAAGATTAGTGTATTTTTATGAAAATTTAAGTCACAAATCTTGTAATATAGTTTCACTCAATCTATTCAACCTCTTATCTAAATGAAGTTTATAGAGTAAGTAAAAGATTAACGGAGTTAATATGTTCTGTAGAATGCGAAATTGCGGATAAGTTCAACCTTGGTTGATTTTCTTTCATTCGTTCAATCAGTGTTTCAGCAGACGTATCTATTTTGTATATCCCGTGAAAGAAATCAGCGATTCGTAATTGCAATCGACAGCCGATTTTTATATACTGATCCCTGTGTTATGGATTTCATACCTGAAATTAAACAATGGAAATACAAATATTTCGTTGTTGGAACTATGTTAACGATTTCCATTAATTTGTTGTAAAAGCATGATAGAAAGCATTAGCATATACAAACTATATTACCATAATCATTTGAGTGACAAATATCAAGAAATTCTAAATTTGTTGAAATTATCATTCAGCTTGTTATATTTCTAATGAACGAGAACACAAGTGGGGACAACCAAATGTATCTCAATGCAAAATTACAGAATATCTCAGTAAAATTATAGAACTATACAATAAATACTTCATTCGCAAAATGTCAATCAATCATCTCAGATTTGACTTTCCCTTCATTTCCACATCAATCATTGTTGTTGTTCTTATTTTCTATCCTCTTAACCTTCTGCCACCAGGCATTTCATTTTCGATTGTTGATACATACTGCTTATATTTGAAAACATCGCTAGCACACACCATACTATGAATAAAGTATTATTATTATTATTATTATCATTAGCTTTATTCATTATTATATTTTTGGTACATTATAAAATTCTCAGCGGAAATTATCTCAACAAGTTTCCGTTTCTTTCTTCTTGGTCGGTCCTGGCGATAAATATTGAATGATCGCCAGTTAGATGTTAGCAGTTCAGTAAATGAACATCTGAATAATGTACATTCTTTTCGTTGTATATTGCCAGCAACCACATTGTCTCTTATAGGGTTTTTTGTAACTTCGACAACGAAAGGTTGTACACTTTTCAGAAACGCAGCAGAATAGGTTATGCGATTAATAAACATAATGATATATTAAAACAAACAAAAATAGATAACTTGTTGAAATATCTAGATGACAGGAACAGGTAGCCCAGATGCTCAAGCAGGCGGCCCTTTTATGGGCTAAATATCTAATGTATTCAGATGATTTTTTATAATTCAGTAAACCGGAGAAATGAGAAACTACTAGAAACCACTGAGCACAAACTGCTGTTTCACTATAGTTTGTTTCTGAAGGAAAATAACTAATTCACTTGCTCAAAACAGAATGCAAAACGTTTATATCTCATAACGAATAAGATGTCATTCAATCAAAATTCCAATCTATTGTTTACCGTTTTTAACTAACATCATACTCACAAAAAGACCTGATGCTTACAATTGAGAGTTTATAATCAGTACCACCAAACTATAATATAACAGTTACGTGCTTCTCTCGAGTTTGTAATAATATTCAAATAGATGTTCACTTGTAAAAATAAACCACCTTCTAAACAAAACACTTAGGACTATACAGTAAGAAATATCTACATTAAATCAACTAGTTCAGTATACTTTTACTTTAAAGGTTTTTTTGGCTTTAATTTTATTTGTAGGTGGTATTTGTTACGGATTGATCACAATTAACTTGCTATTAAAAAATTAGGAGCATTCGATGGTTGTTTCGTCCTTATATTTAACTCAACATGGCAGACCCACAACCTTAAATGTTCCTGGAATTTTATCGGCAAATTAAACCTATGAAGTTCAGAAATGTTGGGGGTAAAACAGCCATTTCAGTGACCTTAAACAATCATTATGAATCGACTGAAGTTTGAAACATGTATCAGTGGATGATGACTCAGTGATTTGATGGTTTAATGCACATAATTTGACCTAAAAGTTCTGGTTCCCATCTCTGAGTGTACACTCTGAAAGAGTCCTATACTAAGGAAAGACAACTATCCAACACTCCCTAACTTTCAATGTTACCCCAATTGAATAAATTACACACAGTAGATACAAATATATAGGAATCTAGAATTATATTGGCTAAAATTTAACCATCCTCATATACTCCCTTCCATTAGCTTTGAACACACCTAATAGATGATCTAGAGTCAATCTATCATTTACAAGAAGTCCTCAACAATAGTTAATTTTATTTACGTAAATAAACCTTAAAACGTTTCTCCTAGTACTCAAACTGAAACTTGTTTTTCTTCTCAAAAAAGGGGGTATGTGATTGTTAGTATTTAGATTATAATAGTACCAATCAAAGTGAATGAACGTTTGACTTTAGGTCGATCAATATTTAGGTCACCTCTATAAGAAATAAATAACTTTAAATAAACAATAAACAAAGAATAACTGATCTATCTTTTTTTCCTGATCTGGATCACTAATGACCATTGATTTAAGGACTGAATTATCAAAACGTTCACTGAATATCTAACTATGATTGATAATATTCAACACTTGCAAACATGAACAATTCTCAAGAACTCCTATTCTCACCATACAGACGAAACCCCGGTGAGTATACAAATAAATTAAATGATAATTTAGTCATAAACTATGTTATTTTGAAAATATGGATGATTGATTCTTGACTTTTTTTAAACTTTTTCATGGTAAATGACTTTATTCAGAGTACAATATCGAATTCTTAGAACACTTATTGATTTCTCTTAAATCTACTTGATATACTACCTGAAGATCATAGATTTAATCATATCTGAGATCTTTTTTGTGTGTAGTTACTGTCTAGGAGTTGCAATCTTAGATCTAACAGTTACTTAGCAATGGTTGATTTTGCAATGATGCTCGAAATGATAACAATCCGTTACAAAGACTGTCTTTAATACTATTCAGTAGTTTGACTATATCTAATATCGAACACAAAAACATAACACAACATACTTGTTATTTTTAATTATATATACCATAAGAAGATTTGCTAGTCGGAAAACCACTGATCTAGGTTAAAATTTTTAAAAGTTTGAATTTTCTAGGCTATTAATTAATATTCATAACTCTAGAGAAAGTCATGTTTCTTAGTTATCAGGAGAATGTGATTCTGTGGTGTGTGCTACTGATGTCGACAGATATAAGTAGCATGTGTCATCAGCCGAAAGTGAAATGCTTGGTGGCAGAAGGTTATGAGGATAGAAAAAAAGAAAGACAGCAATGATTGATGTGGAAATGAAGGGAAAGTCAAATCTGAGACGATTGATTGACATTTTGCGAATGAAGTATTTATTGTACAGTTCTATGATTTTACTGAGATATTCTGTAATTTTTCATTGAAATATATTTTGTTGTCCCCACTTGTGCTCTCGTTAGATGCGGTTCTACCTAATAAAAATATGTCATTCCATACTGTGGGTTACAAGAATACTGTCTTATGCGACATATAATGATGTAATAATCTTTAAACCACACTTACTATGAACGATATTGGAAAAGAGTGAAGTTCAAACGAGCTAAATAATAGTTGAAAGTCGAGCGTTTAAATAATTGAAACATTAAAATGTATAACACATAATACTAACTAACATAGGTAACTAGATGCCACACTGGTAGTCAAAGTGGATTTGAAAGCTCTGTCAATCTTAACCTTATTTGTTTTCAGTATCATCAGAAGATTACCGCAAT